TTTCTTATGTGGTTTTCCAACAGAAGTGGACTTTTGCTTCCAGCAAGGTCAAACATCTTACTGCTCCCAATAACATACAAATTGTCTGTTAAAGGACCTATTGAACTAGCAACAGAAAATGTACCAAAGCCACTTATTGGATTTATGAGGGATTGTTGCTTTGCCATTCAGGTGCGTGCTAATGGAATCCCAATAATAAGATTAGATGACTATAACTTAGCTACGGACGACAGTGAGGAATAAAGGATGAACGTTTATTTTTAAAGCTTATAAATGAGTTCTTCATCAAACTCTCGCGAACCTTCACCATCTATGAAACAAACTTTACCAAACGATTATGGAGCACCTATTGAATATTTCTTACGAGCTGCACAATGGCAAAGAGCAGTCTCACCAAGTTAGGTGTTCCACCAACTCCTGTCAAAAATAGCATTTGGTCAAGTCCTTATATAAAATATGGTCTCCCACTAGGTTTGCTAGCTACAGCAGGAGCAGTTATGATGTTGAAAAGAAATAAAGCAAATGTTATAAATAATACTGAAGTAGCTGAATTTGAACAAACTCCGACACCATCACAAACAACACCTTCAATGACTCCTGAACCTATGAAAGTACAAACTCCTGTTCAAAAGTCAACTCCTAAACCGACTCCAACATTTAAACCAGAACCTACTCCTCAAATAAATCGTAAAACTCCTGCGTTTCCTTACTGAAAAAATAACGTTATTTTTATTTAATATTAAAATTTTTATTTGATTGAAATGACGACTAAAGTCACTGAAGCAATGAAACAAAAGTTTTTGGTAGAATACATTAAATCAGGAGCGGTTCCAGAAGGTTTTTACGTTCATACTATGAAGGATGGTAGAGTTCAGTTTAGAAAGATAAAGCAACCATTAGATAGAGAAGGTATATTAAGGAAGATTAAACTTCATGAGGACAACATTGCTGAACTTAAGAAGAAGTTAGAAGAGTTGGAGAAAGGAAGAGAGTTATAAAGCAATGAATTCAACGGGTGAAAAAAGAGGTGAGATTTCACCACTTCACCTAAATTTATTTTTGTGCTATGTTTTCATACGTGTGAGGGTGGTGATATCATTAATTTTAAGTTTATTTTTATATAAATGACAAAACAAAAATATAACATATCTACTCAACAGGAATGAGACCCTTACTGACTATGTATTCGTTTAATGCTTGATGAAAACAATGGTACATATTATCGTATGGGTATACACAGCGTCTGTTTCCATCGTCGTCGTATATGTAGAGCTCAAATCCAGTCCAACCTTCTTTTGTACAATATGTAGCTTTATTTAAGTATGCATTTATGTAGATAAGGCAATTTTCTTCATCGCTCCAGAAATAATTTTTATTCTTTGTTGAAATAGTTTTCGTTCCTCTGCGACCATAAGGAATGTATGCAATGAACTTTGCGTCATAAGGGATTGTAATATATTCAGGGTTTCTTTCATCGTCAATGGGTCTGTCTTTGTTAAAATGCATGTTTCTCAGTTTTACTTGAGTTTTGAATAGTTCACGGAAACGTTCTGGGAAAGAGTCATAGTAAATGTAGTCGGACATGTCTTTGTAATGAAATAAAAAATTTAAAAAAAATAAAAATAAGGTTATTTTTTATTTAGTGAGGACGGTAGTGAAGTCATTAGTGAAGTAGTTAGTGAAATCATTAGTGAAGTCGTTTATGTGTCAGATAGTTTTGTAAATATTTAAGGTTAAGTTGGTGTTATGGTTGTGTTGTAAAATATACGTTACTGGTTTCGTAAAGTGTCAAAACCGCTAAGTGGTGTACGGAGGCGCGCAGTGCCACAGTACACGACTTAGGGATACTAACTAAAGTTCCTGATGGAATGAAAGAATTAGTTCATATTGTTGCTGGTCTTCAAAAAGATGTTAAACAAATGAGAAACGTTTTAACATTACCAGAAGCTCAAGCATATGCCAAACGTCAAGGTCCAAATTGGGAAGCACACGAAGCAGACATTACGGGTCCAAATGGAAAACCTGATGGTATAAATGAAGTTTTCGTTACTGATGGTCAAGGTAATATTAAAGTCATAAATGGTTACAAATTAACTATAACTGATTATCCTAAACGTAAAGCATATAATGAACGTTATCCTATGCAATTTGATGAAAATGGAAAAGCTGTTAAACAATACATTGGAGAAGGTGAAAATGGTCCAATTAATTCATACCGTTATAATCCATATTCTTATTTCAATGAAGAATTAAATGCTATTGAAGAGGGACCGGATGGATTACCACGATATTCTAACCAGTTTGATGGTCAATATGCAAATATTAGACCTGAAATTTCAGCTAAGAAATTCTTTAAAGTTGCTTTATTCGATCCAGTTTTCGCAAATGTTAAAGATGAACTTAAACAGCAATTCCAACCAATTAGTAGCAAGAATTGCATCAGGTGCTTTATCTCAAGCATTCAAAGATTTAATTAAGAAACCATTATATCAGCAACGAGGTTTAACTTATGATTTAGTTAAGGAATCAGATAAAAGAAAATTTGAGAAATCAGATGATTATAAGAATGCAATTAATGAATATATTAGGTCTATTAATTACAATGAAACAGCTAAAAATCAACTTCAAGAACAAATACAGGGAATAATAGATTCAAAAGTTCCAGCAAAATAAAAGTTTAAATATATTTTTTTTATTCGATTATAAATGAGAAGACGTTTCACTAGTCAAAAGAACACTAACGCAAAAGCAGAGATTATGGTTGGTTATAACGTAAATGATGATAAATCACGAATTATTCAAAATGTTAAAGTTAATGTTAGCCCTGAATTAACAAGGTCAGCAACTCAACCAAATTTATTAACTCGTGACTTACCGAAGAATGAGGAGAATGAAGAAAACCATGAGAATGGAGACCCAATCATTTTATCTGAACCTGGTAAAGAACCTGTTGAAATTCCTACTTATCCAACATACCCCCACCTCTTTCATCAAACATCGAGAACCCATATAAAATAGACATTAATTCTGAATTAATGAAAATTTACCGTGATATAATAATTAATAATTATGATTCAATAATAAATTTAATTGACCAATTCGGTTTAATTATTTTACCTTATGAATCATTAATTCACATTATCGCCATTCTTTGTGATGTTCAAGATTCAGACGTTAAGATTCAATTTTTCATAGATGATGAGGTTTCATGCTGCGGAACAGTTGCAAAAATAAATCCTATAAAGGATATTAGCACAATTAAGATATCAAAGAACGGAACAACAACTGAACTTCATTTAACATATAATGATATTTATAATAAAATAGTTGATGAATATAAAATATCACTTGAAAAATTCTTTGTTAAGGCTATTTAATATTCAAGCATTAACATTATCGAATAATAATCCTTTGAATCATAATCAATAATAATTGACCTTTCACCAGTTTCTATCGTTTGTTTTATTTCTTTTTGTTCCCCACTATCCGGATCGGTCATTGTAATTGTTTTTGTTATAGTATCAGCTTTATCTTTAACTTCAATCTTTTTTCCATCGGGATATTTAAACCAAAATTCCAAAAATTCGATATTGTCAATATGTTCATATTTTAATCTATCAATTACATTTTTAATACCATCTGAAAATCTTATGAAATGGTCATTATATGGGTTTGATTGAACTAAATTTGAATGAAGTGAAATATAACCTGTTGATGAATATGACACTGACTCATATTTTCTGAAAACACTAAAATTTATAACATGAATGAAATTTCTTATTCGTTGAATTTATGAATTCTTGAGGTAATCTTATTCTAGTTTTATTTATCACTGGAAAATAACGCTTTACCATATTTTTAATCGTAATAAAAATGTCAATTATCAATATTATTTCGAATAATAACTGTGAATTAAATTTAACAGTTAGCGGAATTTATAATGTTACTCTCGTTTCTGTGAGTGGTAAATTTAATCCCATTCTTTTAGACCCTTCAGATTATATATCATTTATTAAAGATGACCATGAGCCGCATAGCGGCGGGGTCGTAGACCTTGAAAAAACGTATGATATGTATATAAATAATGTGATAGCGAAATGGGATATATTAACATGATTTTAAGTTATTTAAATGAATCATTTATCGTACGGTATGAAGAAAATTTTAAATCAAAACCTGATAAACTTTTTGAACTTGATGAAATAAATAACCTTATTAAATTCCCGCTGAAAATTAAATTTTGTACTCCTCATCTTCGTTCATTGTTGGGGATATTAAATTTTGAAAAAGATGTTGGGGATGTTTTGTATTCTGACACTGGTTCCAATTTCATTTTAATCAAATGTGATAAAGTTAATACCCCAATGAGATTTTCACATCAAACATTAGACCCTAACTCTTACCCATCAATACAAAACATTTTATCCATCAACTTAAACACATTTTCTTTATCATATCCGTTTCAATTATCCGGGAATTCATTTATTCTTCATTCAAAAGATTTATCAAATATTAAATTTAGAATAACTGACCTATTTGATTGTGATTTAGAATTTATGAATGAAATATTATGGCAATTTCAAATAGAGAAAATAGCTGATGAGATAACGGATTAAATATTTATTTTTAAATCGTAATAAATGATTAAACAACAGCAACTTAAGGCGCAAAGCACCCAGGTCCTTCAGACCATTACATACGCCATATATGCATATAATTCAAAGACGGCAGAACAAACGCAAAGGTTGAAATATGGAGATTTGGAGATAGTATTGAAAAATGACCGTTTCGAATTCGTTTGCAAAGGTGGTGCAGTGATATCAAATATAAAAGAAATTTTATTTATGAATTCAAAAATTAAAGGAATAACGGATGATATAACATCAATTCCACCAGAAGAACAGAGATATTACGCATTAAATGCATTTCCTAAAGTTTTGAAGATTGGAAGATTTAATTTAAATGAGGAATTCATAGAAGGTTTCCTAAATGACATAATGAAGAAGGTAGATAAGGAATACGTGGATAGTGAGTTAATGAAGAAGGCAAATTTGGTTTATGTAGATGAAAAAGATAATGAAATTAAAGAAAAGGTTGAATGGTATCATAAATGGACATCGGAGACTTTTAAAGTTAAAGCTGATACAGGATGGGTTTCAGGATGTTTAGACCTTAAAGCAGATAAAACTTATGTAGATGAAAAAGATAATGAAATTAAAGAAAAGGTTGAATGGTATCATAAATGGACATCGGAGACTTTTAAAGTTAAAGCTGATACAGGATGGGTTTCAGGATGTTTAGACCTTAAAGCAGATAAAACTTATGTAGATGAAAATTATGCAAAGAAGTCGGAAGTAAATGATGTGATTACAAGCATGAAAAATGAAATACTTCAAACATTATATCCTATAGGCTCTATTTATACATCAATGAATTCAACAAATCCAGCAAGTGTTTTAGGTTTTGGTACATGGAAGCAGATTGTAGACAAATTCTTATACTGTGCTAAATTTTCAAAGCATACAGGAGGTTCAAAGAAAATTAAAGAAGCAAACCTTCCACCGCACACTCATACAGGAACGACAAACTTTTCTGGCGACCATAGACACTCATTAAGAGACCACCCATTATACAACTCAGACTATGAAGCTGGTTATGATGTTTTATCTCCATCTTATAACGATTCAACAAAAAAGACTTTTCGACAAACTGAACCAGGAGGAAATCATGTCCATACTTTCACAACAAATCCAACAGGCTTGGGTAAAGATTACATGCCACCATTTGTGACTGTATTTGCATGGTACCGAATGAACTAAATATATTTTATGTCTGTAATTAATTAGGTAATGAAGTAGCGGATGAACTGCGGAAATAAATTTTATCGTTAATGGTTTTTAGGTTATTCAATAATTAATTATTTTTGAATAACTGATGGTGTCACTACGTCACCATGTCACCAGGTTAATTAACTTCTCTTAAAAATGATGACAACATGACATTTTGACAACATTCCCGGAAATAAATTCTATCGTTAATGGTTTTTAGGTTATTCAATAATTAATTATTTTTGAATAACTGATGGTGTCACTACGTCACCATGTCACCAGGTTAATTAACTTCTCTTAAAAGTGATGACAACATGACATTTTGACAACATTCCCGGAAATTTGATGCAGTCCAAAAATAAAGTTAGTTTTAAAATTATTTTTATTTTTTATTCCTATATAAATGACAGCAACAAACAACAACAGCAACTATATCGTTTCTGATGAAAAAGTTATTGATTCATTAGCTGAGGAATTAGTTGTGGCAGAAACTAAAACCCTCAACGAAAGAATTGGTGAAAACAAGATTGATTTACATAACTACCTCAAACATGATGGAGGAAGAGGAAGGAAAACTGGTATGGCTTTATTAGTAAATAAAATATCAAATTTAACGATTATAGATGTTGATATCAATAAATCGTACAATGATGAACTTAAAGAAACAGTTAGAAAAGACATTCTATCAAAACTTTCGGATAAAGATGTTATCGTTAAAACCGCTTCATGAGGTCTTCACATTTATTGTAACACTAATTTCTTCTATTCAACCTCGAACAGAATGATTAAATGTTATTCCTGCAATGATTATGATATTGATATCATGACTTCTATGGATGATTCAAAGCGTTCTTTAGTAGTTATGGCTGATTCAAGAGTTCGCAAGAATGCAACAGAACCAATCAATACATACTCATTCATTCGTGGAAGTTACGACTCGACCATAACCAGAACAGTGAATGATATATTAAATGATTTGAATATTAAGGTAAGAGTTGAACAGAAGAACGAAGAAATCAAGACTATCATGAATGAAAACAAAGATGTAAACATTGACGATAAACTTGCCCAGAGCATAGTTGATGGCATCAGTGATTTTGAAGTACATAATGACGGTGGAAACATGAATTTAGAAAAAGAAGTTACATTATTCACACTGTTTCAAGCAATTAATTCGTTACCTAATCATTTAATTAATGAAGCATACGATAACGTTTATAACTTCTGCAGTTTAACAGAAAATGCAAAAAGTAATTTTGAAAAAGCACGTAGTAGATATTCACATTTAATGACTTCTCCATTTGTTTTAGTGAAGATTCTAAAACTATACCAAAAGGAATATTATGATGAATACGTTTTACCTTTATTACGTAAGCCAAAAATAACATTTGATATAAAACTTGATGACTCGTTTTTGATAACAGATATTAGACACAAGGCTGAAAATCATCAGTATAAAAACAGTTCTGAAGTAATTGAGGATTTATCACGTGTAATCCGTTTTGTAGATTGTGGAAACAAATACTTCATTCAAAAGGACTATAATATCCACGACAAAATGAATCAAATATCATTCGTTCTTCAATCAAACATGAAAGAGTCACTCAAAATGATTAAATTATTTAAAGAAGAAGGTAAAACAATAACAGCATGGGCTGTACTACTAAATCAATTGTCTTCATTAACCGTTAAGGGTGTTTGCTTTAAATCTGATTCTCCAGATGTTTTCTCAACGTTTCAAGGTTATAAATACAACGTTCTCGAAAAACCAGATTACTCAAAAATTGAGATGTTTATGAATTTCATTAAAGAAGCCATTTGTGATAATAACGATGAAGTGTATAAATACCTTCTCGGCTGGATTGCATCAATGATTCAACATCCTGGAATCAAGAATGAAACAGCAATTATTTTGAAAGGACTTCAGGGAACAGGTAAAAACAGATTTACAGACATTATTTCTGAACTTCTCGCCGGTTATTCATGTAAAAACATTACCGAAATAGGTGAGCTAACGGGTAATTTCAATTCAGTAGTTGAGAATAAAATGTTTCTTGTACTTAATGAACTCAAGAATGTAGGTGAAGATAGACTCGCAAACTTCAACGCTTTGAAATCAATTATTACGGATAATGAGATTAGAATTAATGAAAAGAATCAACCCAGAAGAACTGCTCAGAATGTTGCCAATTTCATTTTGGTAACTAATAACGTCTACCCTGTCAAAATTGAAGTTGGAGACAGAAGATACGTAGTTTTAAGGGTTAATGGTAAATTTAAGGGTCAATTTGATTATTTCAAGAATTTGATGGATTCATGCACTAAGGAATTTTATGATAACCTTTTAACATATTTTATGCAATATGACCTTTCATCATTTAATGTACGAATCATTCCGATGACTGAAGCCAAACAAGATTTAATAGAATTATCAACAAATCCTTTAGATGTATGGATAAATACATATTATGATGAATTGTGTGCAGGCATGACGTGTAAAAATGCTCTATTCTGCAAACCATCAGACATGAAAGACAAAAACTTTCAAATGAGCATTAAGGATAAATGTGATAGGAAACAGAGAAGAATAGATGGTAAACAAGCATGGTGTTATGTTTTGAAAGAAGAAATGAAAGGATTATATAAACAGGTTGAACCAAACGATAATGAGGATTCATTTACTGATGATGAAATACCTGTAAATGAAGCTTTATAAAGTATGATTGGAATTTATTTTTGCATTAATCCTGGACTGTTGTCAAAATGTCATGTTGTCAGTAATTTTAAGAGAAGTTAATTAACCTGGTGACATGGTGACGTAGTGACACCATCAGTTATTCAAAAATAATTAATTATTGAATAACCTAAAAACCATTAACGATAAAATAACTGATAACAAAATTTTATTTTTATATAAATGGATACCCCACAAGCTCAAAATTTACCACGAATCATAACAAGGGAGGAAATGATAAAAATGATGCAAGAACTAATTAAAAACAACAAACCACGAAAACCGAGAAGATGCGGTTATGCAGTAATGATGGAAAGAAGAACCCAGAAGGGTTCGGCGTCTCGAAGAGACGTTGTCGAAGAGGAATAAAAATTAAATTTGGATAGAGTTTAAAAATTCATCTTTATTAAATTCATCTCTTCCAATCAATTTATTTATTCTATTAAATTCTTTTATTTTTGCTTCACTCAGTTTAAGGATTGAACGGTAAGTTTCTAATTTTTCGATTATTTCTTTCCTCTCTTTATCGTTTTCAGTTCCTTTAGTTTTATGGGCATCGGCCCCGCCGCATTGCGGCTTCTTTTTGTAATAGCATATTTTTGATTTAATTCTGTTTAGTTTCTTTTTATATTCATTGTCTGGACTCTGAATCTTAATTGAATCAGGACTCTTGGCTGCTTTGTTGTCACTCATTTCTTACGAAATAAAAAAAATTAAATATTATTTAAATATAATGGAGTAATAAAATAAATCGGACTTTCTATTAATTTATTGTCAACTTCAACTAATGCATTGCCGTTAATATATCTAATAAATTCAGCTATTGTGTCAAATCTTCGTCTTCTTTTTGTCATTGATTTATCAGTTTTTCCATAATCGAGATGAATTAAAACTTTATTCCCTTGTTTAAAATTCATGAGCCCCGAATTAATTTGTTCACGTTTAACATCATTCAACCTTTCCATTTGCTTTCTAATATATTCCCATTCTTTTGAAATATCATTTTTCATTTCCACTGGTTTCATGTTTATAGTTCTATGCCATGTATTATTGTAATAATATACTAACTGTTGTATGATGGAGTCATGATTTCCATCCCAGTATATCTGACCGTTAACCCTAACGCATCTCTAAGAGTTCTCATTACCGCATCAACTATTTTATTATGAAACGTATATGGAGAGGATGAAAAGAAAAAATTAATTTGTGGGAAATAATGAGCCATAGCTGCCTGAAATCCTTTATCACCATCACCCCTGATATTATCTACTCTTTCATGATCTAGTAAGTATTGTATAGCTCTTCTTGTTTCCTGTTCTGTTTTCCCTTTCACTGGAATGCAATATAAATATCTAGTGTTAATGTTAATGGCAAATAAATAAGTAACGTTTCCTTTTGAATATTCCAGATGATCGATTTCGTATGAATATGGATATGGTGCAAATGAGGGGCGACTAAATTTTTCCTTTAACGGTTGAATTTTCGGGTCAATTGGTTTATTTAATATCTTGAAATCCTTTTTAAAATCTTTTTGCTTCTTTAATGTTTGAAATGGATATAATAAAGTGAATGATGAAGGATTAACTGAAGGAGGAGGAGGTACTGTCGTTGGAGGTTTTGGTGTTGCAAGTGGTTTAATTTTATCTGCTTTGATTTTGGATGATGAAGTTTTGGATTTCATTCCCCCCTTCATTAATTCTGGATGTATTCTATTCATTTGTTTTAAATATGCTGTATATAAAGGTTTGATATACTTTCCCGCTTCGAGTTTATGTTGAAGGATGAATTCCAAAAGTTGATCTTCATTTAAAAGTCGGGCTGAATATGATTTAACTAATGAATCATAAATTAAAGCTTGTGCTTCATTTATGGTCTGAAGGACCTGGGCGTTTTGCGGCTCAGGATTATATAATTTATATAATTCATCAATATCTTCTTCTGTTAATACTTTATTTTTGAAATCTTTCAATTGTTTAAGTTGTGATTTAGTTTTTTCCTTTGTATATTCATTATTTTTAATTTTGTCTTTAATTTTAGAAATTATTGTATCATGATATTTCAAAATTTCATTTTTATAATATGGATAATAATAATCCATATCATCACTCGTTATATTGTTATTATGTTTTTGGAGATATGATTTTAATTCATAATAATTAAGAAAATTTTGATTAAGTACTAAATCATAAATTAAATTTTTTAAATCTGTGTTATCCATTTATATAAAAATAAAATAAATGTTTAAGGGTGCCCACCTCTTTGAATCATAGTATCAAAACCATCATTAACGGTTCCTTTTGTCTCTTCTGTGGCATTTTATTAAAAATAAAATTTTAAATTGTATTAAATAAATGGCATACAACATCCATTTTCACAACATACAGCCTTACGGTGTGCTCCTGTTAATGCAGTCTTACCGATTGTTAAGCGAGTCATTGACCCGTTTTTAAGTTGTAAATTAATATTCTGACCATCAAATATCACTTTATCATTTATTATATCCAAATAATTTTTAGGTGTTAATTGTTTATTTTGTCGTAAACTAACACCTTTCATTTTTTGTGCAATCTTTTTAAAATCACTTCCATCAATTGAACCGTTGAATGATGTATAACACTTAGGGCATAAAGCAACCATGTTATCGCCTTGTTTCTCAATTGCTAAACCCAATAACTTCTTCTCATGTGCTTTTTCTTCAGCTTTATTCTTTAATTTAGGTTTAAATTTCTCATCAAAACAGAAGAAATCAAATGGTGCGAATTTGAAAATGTTTTTATCATAAAATTGTTTATCGGTAACAATTGCTTGAAATGCTTGAGTGTTAGGAAGATTTGGGTCGCCAGCGATTGCCCAATAAGATGAATCAGTATCGCCTTCAATGAAATGAAAACGATTAACATCCATGCATTTATACATAAAATCATAAATGAAAACTAAATACCAGTATTTTGCGTTATCTAAAGTGAAGAATGCCTCTTGTAAACATGTATCACATCTATAAAATCTATCTTTAAGCATCACTTGATATGTATCCTCACCTATTTCTCTTATGTTTTTAAACTTATTTGACATACATGCAACGCGTGCCTTCTGTGCATTCGTTATTTTAGTCTTTGCGTAATTTTGTGTATTCATTGCATCGTAACCATATGATCCATTAAGTGAAATCTTGCAAAATAAACTTTTTCCTTTATTTCCTTCTAATTCAGCCTTTTGTCTTTCGTTCATAAATTTGTTCGCAAATTCATTAAAACAAGTGTTTTTCGTAAATGTTAAAATTGATTGAATATCATCGATGATAAAATGAAATCTGTCTATTAGATACCAAAGATAATAAGAAGAAAATGGTTGATATTGGTTGTGTGTTGATGCTAACTGAGTTAATTTCCTCTGTTTCTGGTCAACTGGTAGATTGTTTGATTTCATGTAATTATACATAAAACTGCCAATTGTTTTTTCATCTGTGATAATATCTAAGTTTCTTATTATCGGTAAAAAGTTTATGTAATCATTAATGTATTTTTCATCAATGTGACCCTTTACTTCAGCCACGAATAAAGTATTTTTCTTCTTAATTATTCCCAGTGCTTTTGCTTTCTTTGTTGCTGTATCACAAATGATAACACCATTCAATCTTCCCGGCATATACATTTTATGGTCAGTATATTGAATGAAATCATGAGGATTAGATGAAAATAATGAAGGATATAATGAATTAAAATCAACACCAACGAAATGAGTCATGATGTTGGAAGTGTCCTCATTTGATACAGTTTTAGTTTCTGGACTATATGAAAGTTTATTAATGTGCGTGATTCCTTTAAGATTAACACGATGTTGAACATTTGATAGACCACCAGTAATTCCATTACGGAGAATGTGATAAGCTTCAACTGAATCTAAAGTCATTGGTAAATTATTTTTTAATGCGTAATTTCTTAAATTGATTCTTAAACGTTGAACATCTTCATCTTTATTTGATTTTACGACATTGCAATAACAACACATTAACTGACAATTTTCTTTGGTATGTGGTTTTTCATTATCGATTCTATCCAATGTTGGTTTATTTGCATATGTAAACGCTTTACCACACATTTTGCATTTAGATGAAAGGATTAAATCGTGATAGTATTGAAAATCATCCATTGAAACATTATTTTTAGTATCCCTTTCTGCTTTTTCATGTTGTGCATGAAAAATAGCGTGACTTCACTTTTGACAAAAAGCGACACTATTTCTGATGGTTTTGTCATTTATTTGTCAGATTTATAAATGGATAATAATGCTGTAAATCAGATATTAATTAAAAATATTTACGATTTATGTTCGAATTGAAAAGCAAAATGATATTTTTTTAATTGAAAAACGTTAATATCTGATATTTTGAAGTTTTTAATATTTGTTAGTATCTTAAATTATTGAATGCATACGTTTTTTATGTTCTCAATTTTAAAAAAATTGTGAAGAATTTAGTTTTTTGGAGATGGATGTTTAATATTTGTGAGTGAGAATGCAAGCAGGAGTTTGGTACTTTAAGGCTAGGTTGAGATAGATTTCCCATTATATTATCTGTGAATATATTGTTTGAAAATTCAAGATATAAAAATATATTATCAAAAAATTTTATATTTTTAAATACAATAGGGTGGAAATATAGTACGATGAGATAGCAATGATATATTTTATAATGGGAGGTAATCTGAAGATAAGTAGCAAATTTTATGCGATTTTGATTGGGAGTTGGAGGGTGTGAGTACTATAGCATGTAATAGTATCTCACACCCTCCAATTCTTCCTATGGCGCCGAAAAATTTTTGGTGAAATGCGACGACATTTCACCAAAAATTTTCGGCGCCATATAGAGAACTATAGTCTGCGAGGTACTGATTCTATCTATGTACCTCGCAGACCATAGTTCTCAGCCAAAATGGCTAATAATTTGAGAGTCTATATGATAATGTAAAAGTTAAAACATTCAAGTGTTTAAGTATTTCTTTAAAATATTAAGTTTTTTATTTTTCCAATAAAATTCTAATATCAAATATTTTTATTTAACGATTAATTTTATTTATATTTTTATAGTTTTTTTAAGAAAAAATATTGTTAGGGTTTTATGGATTTTCAATTAATATACAAGATAATTCATGAATGTATATATTTCCAAGTTTTTAAGGATGCAACACTTTACATTTGTAAACTGTCAAAAATGAAGTCACGCTATTTTTCATGCATTACATAAAATATTCTAATCTATTCTTAAAATTTTTAGCATCATTGAGATATATTTGATAATCACTATCTGATATAGTTTCTTGAGTTAATGCTGAATAAAATGAATCTTTCGTGAATGGTTCCTCTTTATATAATTCTTCTTCGGAATTCTCCCATGTGATAAATTGATAAGGGAAAAAGGATTTAACACGTGATTTATTGTTTCCGAAATCTTGAGTGAATTGGTCTAATGTCCCACCCGCTATATAATTTCTGATGTCAATAAATCTCAATTCATATGGAGCGTTTGTTTTCTTTACAATGATTTGCTTAAATTGTGAAGATGAACCCAGCATTGATTTTATTTTCCATTTTGCAGTATTTAAATCACGAAGAATTAAATTTAAATCAAACTTTCCCGAATTAAAACCTATGATATTCACTTTATTGAATTCCTCATCTAGAAGTTCTTTAAATGCTTCCTTCTGTTTTTCATTTAATGTATGGGATAAAGTCCCCGCCGTTTGCGGCTTCATTAATTCTTCATATTGTTCAATATTTGATTCAACAACTAATGAACAGGTTGAAAATAAAAACTCAATCCAATCAGAAATAAAAGAATCACTCGAAGTTAAGCAAAAATTTCTCGTATATGTTTTATCATTTAATTTAACCGCTGATGATACCATGAATGGTTTTAAGTAAGCGTTCAAAGTTGCACACTCAGAAAGTTGTAATTCTTCTTTAGTCTCTAGTGTTTCAAAGTCAAAAGTAATATAATATCTTGTCGGTTGATAATATTCCTGCAAATTATGAGCTAATAACCACTGATATATCTTCTGTTTCGTAATATGTGGTGCATATGGTTGCTGGGTCTTTTGCAATTGAACGTCTTGAATTAATCTTCCATTATTTTCTTTACATTTCTCACAATGCTTTAAAAATCTTCTTTGGTTTTTCCTTTCTGGATCATCACGGATAGAATAAACTTCTTCTTTACAATATGGACAAACTTTATAGCCGGTGAGTGCTTCAACGTCTGTTATTCTGTCAGCGTGAAGTTTTCCACATGGACTCTGTGTTAATAAAATATTTACTGTTTCAAATTCTGGATCTATCATTATTGATTCCACTAATGGAAAGTCTACCTTATTTATGTCCACGTCTTCTGGTTGAGGATCACAATAATAGAAATCAATATTAACATTTAACATTCTCGCTAATCTCTCACTTTCTGATGAAATGTCAAACCCTTCATATGCATCTATTGCTTCATTTAAATAGCTTCTACGAGTTTTAGGATTAACACCATCAGGAATGTTATAGAAGCGTTTAAATAACCTTCTACCTTCTGCTCTAATTTGATTATCATTCATTTTAGCTGTTCCGTTTTTGTTCATTTATGTAAGAATAAAAATTAAAAAATAAATAAAAATAAAGTTTATTTTTTTAAAGTCCGTAAAATGAATTAAGAACACATAAATTTTTATCATCTGCAACGTGACGGATACATTTTAATTTACTCAAGAATGCGTACCCTGATACATTAAATCTAATTCCTGTCTTATTTAATTTCACAACTTTGAAAAGGAATGTATGAATAGCTATAAAATGATGAGAAGATGTTTTATGGGTTGCTTCCATTTTTTCTGAAATAAATGAATAAATATAATGTTTATAAGTTTTCATATCTTTTATATTCTTAATAACGAATGGTATAGACCTTTCAACTTCGTCTTCCTTCGGTGCTGTTCTTTCATATGAAACATTATTAGTATCTTCAACAATGAAACCGCAATCACATAAAATTTTATATGTTCCAATGGTTTCTTTTGATATTTTATCTAATAAATCAAAAACTTTATCAACACCTGTGCATTTATTTAAATAATAATTTGTGTAAATATCATGATCTTCTTTCTTAATCGTATTAGTTGCATATGTCACGTTTTTAAGAGCTTTTTTGAATTTCTCAGAATCGAGAGGGGTGAAAGTAAGATACAAGGGTATTCTTCATTATCAATAAATTGTAACTTATGTTTACGAATAAATTTAGTACCTTCTTCTGAAAGTGTTTCGTCTATTTCACCATCTAATAAATTTTGTGTTGATTCTGAGACATAATTTTTATATCTTTCTTCATGAGATTTCTGTACTTCTGATTCTGAAGCTGGGATATTCATTAAACCCTCTACTTCATTTTCATTATATTTTTCAACTTCTCTTAATTCCTTAATTTTTTCATCTATTTCATCTCTTATTTTTTCCAGTCTTTCAATTTCATCGTATTCATCATCTTTAATCCGTTCTTCATAATATTCAGGTTCTTTAGGTTTTTCTTCTTCAGATGTGGGATATAAGAAATTTATAACATCATCTTTATTCATTTTTCCATCATAATCTAAATCATTTAATAACTCGGCAAATTTTTTACAATTTCTTAAATAATATTTATCAACTTCATAACCCGCCTCCTCTAATATATCCTTTATTTCCTCGTTTGTGAATCCTAATTTTTTAACGTTGTTAGTTTTGACGTTCATTTCTTACGAATTAAAAAAATAAATTATTCAAAAATGTAAGACATGAATTTCTAATTTCTTTTACTCGTTTATGACTCCATTGATTCCATTCAGGATTTAAACAATGTTTAATTAATCGCGGAATATCTGACATCATCTATATATAGCTTCTTTTATAAAAGAATAAAAAATAAATTATTTTAATGCATCGTCTATATATAGATGTAACAAAAAAAGTTTCATTATGTAAAGGGTTTGTGAAAATTTCTTACGAATTAAAAAAATAAGTTATTCAAAAATGTAAGACATAAATGCCTTCCTCCTTTCGTACCTGTTGTCTAAATGTCATGTTGTCATCATTTTTAAGAGAAGTTAATTAACCTGGTGACATGGTGACGTGGTGACACCTTCAGTTATTCAAAAATGTATGATTCTTAAACTTTATTTTTTATTATGTATGGGCTGAGTGTAAATGTCTTACAATTTTGAAAATTTTTTAAATCTTGATTTATTCAAAAACGTAAGAATAAAAACCGTAAGAATCATACATTTTTTACTTCATATGTTAAAAAAATGATACAAAATCGCTTGTTGTAAACAGAAATTCATCAAAAGTGACACATCAGAAAAGCTAAAATATTGAATTTTTGGAACTTTTGATAGAGCACGTTTTTAAATATTAATTAAAGTAAATGTATATTTTGTAAAGATTCTTTTTAATAAAAAAATAAAATTTTGAAGAAGAACACAAAATCTTCTGAAAAATAATATCACATAAACTCATATTATTTTCTAATATATAACTATTTTATATAAAAATCAAATTCAATGATCTTAAAAGCGAAGGATACACCTCAAAATTTACGAATATAATGAGTGGGAATATAATGCTTATCTATCATAAAACCATATGAAATATCAATTTTTGCTTTACGCCTAATTTTTGACGACAATTAGCAAAAAATGTTAAATGTTAACACTCAGTCCATTTGAATATGAAAAATAAAATTGACTTTGATTAAATGTTTTTATTTATCATGCAATTCTTCTTGCGACCAAAGATTTGAATAAAATTTCAAAAAATAAGATAGCTTAAAAAATAATATACGGTAGTGTTTACTAATAGATGAATAGTATATAAATTCTATTAAAATGGATTTGATCCAAAAAAATATAAAACCAAAAATAATTGTTATAATTTAAATGAAGAAGTAATTTAAAACGATTTTATTTATGATCAAATTTTATATATTTTTTTGGATCAAATCCATTTTAATAGAATTTATATACTATTCATCTATTAGTAAACACTACCGTATATTATTTTTTAAGCTATCTTATTTTTTGAAATTTTATTCAAATCTTTGGTCGCAAGAAGAATTGCATGATAAATAAAAACATTTAATCAAAGTCAATTTTATTTTTCATATTCAAATGGACTGAGTGTTAACATTTAACATTTTTTGCTAATTGTCGTCAAAAATTAGGCGTAAAGCAAAAATTGATATTTCATATGGTTTTATGATAGATAAGCATTATATTCCCACTCATTATATTCGTAAATTTTGAGGTGTATCCTTCGCTTTTAAGATCATTGAATTTGATTTTTATATAAAATAGTTATATATTAGAAAATAATATGAGTTTATGTGATATTATTTTTCAGAAGATTTCATTCTATATGCCTATGAAAAGTACTCTCAAAACTAACTTTTTCCTAATTATAATTAAATCTAGAATATTGTATTATGCTTAGTATTATTTCATTTTTCTCATTCAATTTAGAATTTACAAATGTCAAAAAATTGAGAGCTGTCACTTTTGATGAATTTCTGTTTATTACACGCTCGATATTATATGAATTCTTACGTTTACAAAAAAAGTCACACAACCCTTCATCATATACTACTAATTTATCAGAAATTTAATTAGAATTCATTCGACGTATATTATGTTAAAAACGTCGAGTTGTTAAAATATTTTTAGTATAAAACATTTTCATCAAGTATACATAAGGTAAATCGAAATTTTGATTTATCAAATTTTTGCAGAGATATCTAAAATATAAACATTGTATATTGATCCAAAATTATATATTCCATCGAGAGCTCCGAAAAGGACCAAAATTTTATTGGACCAAGATTGTCAATTTTTTCCAGATGTCAAACTATAGACCTACAATTACTCCACCTGCAAAAAAGATTTCAATTGAGAAGGCTGGCAATGGTAAGAGCATTACTATTGTCAACAAGGACGGCATTTCAATTGATCAACCTGCTGCAAAACCAGCTCTTAATATTACAAAATCGGACAAACCCAGCGAGCCTGTCAAAATTACGGGTCCACGTACAACCACAGCAACCACAGGAAACAAGACATTTACAATTGTTAAGCCATCTCAATCCACAAAACCAATTACAATCACAAAGAATGCTAAAACATTAGAGACATCCAAGCTTTGGCTTGAAGAATATCTCAAGAATGCTGTTGATATCAAGAAATACCCAATTTATGAGCAGATTGTCCAAATGAACAACCACTTTTACAGATATCGTCTTCAATCCACATCCAAATCAGCAAAGACACCACCAATCAAGCGTGATGAGATCAAGCTTATCGTCAACAAGCTTACCATGGATAACTACTATAGCCAACTCGATCAAGTCATCACATCAGCCAACATGAGCAACTTGCAATTCCTTACATCTCTTGCACAGGCTGTTCATGAAGCCTCCATCAACGGCTACCCACTTACAAACCTCTTCTCCCTGTTTATCCAGACAATTGTCGAAGCATTATCCGGCAGCGAGTTCCAGCAGAAGTTTACCGACGAAATACTTAGACTCATCAAAGAAGAGTTCACCAAAGAAGTCGTCGATAACAACGAAGTCCAATACAGTTGGTATCAGAACAACGCTATGTTCTTTGGCTGTTTGGTCATGCGTAAAGTCTATCCAATCGATCTCTTATACGACATTGCTGTTGATCTTGTCAAGAAGCGCCAGCCATACCACATTGCCGCCTTAATTAAACTCATTATACCATTGGCCGGCGAATTAGAGAAAGAAAAGCCAGAAGCCTCCAAAACAATCTTCGGTGAAATCGACAAGGTCAAGACAGATAGGTCTTTCCACTCCAGAATCAGATTCGCATGCATGGATATTCTCGATATCAGAGCTGCCAAATGGAATGGCATCGAGAAACAGTATCCACAGATCAATTCCATGCAGAAACTCATCAAGAGACAAAACGCCGCCAACGAGAAATACAAGAGACCAGAGACAAAAGTCCAAATCAAAGCTGGAGAGAACAAATTTGCAAATCTCATGGATGAAGATGAAGACGAAGAAGTCGCTTTCGATCCAGATGACATGATTGAGACATATGTCACTGATGAAGTTGTCATTCAATCATGGTCATACGAACAAGACACAGAGTATTTGTTCGAAAAGATCGTCGCATTGAACAAGAAACGCGCTTTGAAGTTCATCGAGTGTTTCCAGGATTTATATGCAAACGAATCTTTCGATTGCCAAATTGCTTTCGATGCATGCAAATCTCTGTTTCCAAGTGTTATTTCAGAAGATTATTCAGATCTTCCTGATGCAACAAATATCTTGGGACATATCTATGCAAGAATTGCTGTTCTCGATGCTTCTTTCATCGATAAATTCTCTGAATGCTTCACTGGTTATAATTTGAATATTATTTATGGTTTCCTTGAAGAAATGGTCAGAATGAAACGCGTTGATCAATTAACAGAATCTAGATATTGGTCTGATTATCAATGGAGAGAAAAGACAACATCTCAATTAGAAATTGTCAATTTGATGATTGAAAACGATAAATTGTTAGAAGCATTCCCACTTTATGATTATTTGGCAAGAGTTTATGAAATATTGATACCTCCTGAGGAAGACGAAGAGGAAGGACAAGATGAAGAAGATAAGTTCGATGTTCTCGGCGCAATTGATGAACTTTTGGAAGAAATTCCTCAGGATATTCACGAATCATTCGAGTTCTTGTTAGGCGCACTCGAAATTTGTTTGGAATCTAGAAGAATTAATAAGAAGAACGCAAAGAAAACAATAGCAAAGATTGTACCAGCTGAAGGTTCACAATCTTATAACAGTTTCAAGGAAATGTCATTGCCATTGATCAAAACATTCGAAAGGATTTGCTTCCTTCAGAATAAGAATGATGATGATGTCGCTACTTGGTTCTCTAAGTTGAACAAGATTGGATTCCCTGTCGCTGATTTTATTAAGACTACAATCTGTGATGATCCAAAACTTGCTCATTATCATTCTCAAATTGAAAAATTATTTAAATAAAAATAAATATTTAATATTTTCTCTTTTAATTATTCAATTTTTTTGACATTCAAGTTTTTTATCCAAATTTTCTAAGGTAAAAAGTCATTAACTTTGTTCGGGAAGAAGTTATTTTTAATCGCTACTTAGTACCTTATATTACTGTAATACTTTTTTGCAATCACAATAAAGATATATTGATATTATGTTAGCATGTCAGAAAGTGGTAAGTACACCCTTAAAATTTCTTCAAAGTCTGAATGACCATTACATGATGCTATAATAAGTGGGATGTGATAGTATCATCCTGTGATTCTTTATCACAACAACAACAACAATTAGAGTGCAAAAACGATTATTTTACATTCAATATATGCATGTTCAACCAAATATTTAACGATATCGAAAGAATTATTTTTGATTGCAATACTGATAGGGCATGCATGCTTCAATGTATATCACTTGAATTTAAATTTTGATCGATAATCATTCAAATCTAAACCAGAGATACCAATATGCTTGTCTTTATCCTATTTATCAGAAAATCTATCGAAAAGAAACTTCTTGAATGTATATTTCCTTTATGAAAAATTTAAATCATTATCATGTTTAATGAGCTTGAAAAATGATATATTGTTATTCATTTATGCTACTGTTTTGCTCATTATTAAAGATATCAATACCAATGACAACTTAAACATGTTTGTTCTGAAACCCATTATTAATAGCTTCATCTAAATATATATTAGTACTTCAAAAAGGATACGGAAAAATAATAGCGAATAATAAACATTTATACAATACATACAACATATTAAAACAAATAAAAATTAATTAACATTGCTGATTGAACTGGAAATATGCTCCAAAACAATATTCAGATCTGATGTCAGGCCAGATGAAGTAGTTGAAGTTATTTGTGGCGAAGATTGGCTGAGAGAAGAAGAATACAGTTCAGAAATGTAATTTCCTATTTCTAATTTGTTCTTTTGATATTTGGAGTAAATATCTTTAATATAATTCTGTTTTTCTGTCTCCCTTTCGATTGCAATCTTTCTTGTCTCGTTATATTTCTTTTTTATCTCATTGATTTCTTGAATTAACTTTTTTCTGGTAACGACGAGGTTTTGTTCTTCAATATCCCATCTAGATACATTATCATTGAAGTCAAAGTCTATTTCTTCACCTGATGAGTCTGAATCCATGATAACTGACAAAGAATCTTGTTCATCAACTTCGACTACTTGCATTTTTGCAATTTGTTCGCACAAATCATCATATTTATCAGCAGCATTGTCTATTTTCTGTTGGACCAATTGGATTTCGCTTTCAAGAGTTTTCATTGAATTATTAAATGCAATATCGTTAGCTTTGATTTGCGCTTCGCATGCAATGCATATATTAGATGTTTCTAGCTGAATCGATGATATTTTTCTCTTGGAAAGTTCGATTTCATCTTCAATTGATTTATTTTTAGATTCAGATTGAGCAAGAAGTAGCTCAAGTCTAGTATTTTCGGCTTTTTCAATCGTAGCTCCCATTTTTCGGTAGTTTATATCGGAATCAAAGGCTTTCAAAACTGCATTTGCAGCTTCTACTTGTTTTGTTGAAGGACCTGTGTCATTTATGAAGCTTGAAAGTTCTTTTTGAGATGATTTTAGATTCTGGTTATATCTTTCGTAATCTTCTTGTTCAATTTTAGGAATCTCACGTTTAAGTGATTTAATTTCTGGTATTTTTGCTTTAAGATCGGAAAGATCAAATGCGTGTTCTATAATATCATATTCATCTCCAATGTTTAATCGATAAATTTCTTCTTCTTTAATTTCTTGGTCTAATGTTGAATTTTTTGCTGTTAATTCACATGATTGCTTGATGATATCTGTAAATTCTGTCATGATTTGTGATAAATGAGATGAATTTGATTCTGAAATAGAATCTCTTGTTTCTGCTTTGAGTAAATTTATTTCTCCTAATGTAACCATGTTTTCTTTTGACTGTTGTATCTGTTCACGACGTGATTTAAGTTGCTGTTCTAAAGTTTGAACTTCCATTTCCAATGAAGCTCGTTTTTTCCTAATTTCGTCTATTTCTTCTTGTGTAAACAAAGGATACTCTTTAAATTGAGGAATGGATACACTACCTGGTGAATAAAATGGACTATCAGTATCGGATCTAGATAAAGAATTCATTGAACGTTTGTTTATTTTCCGGAAAAGCAAATTATGAAAATAATTAAATCAGATTGAGTATCTCATAGAGCAATTCAATTTGGTTCTAAAAATAAGTTCTGTAGATTAAATAAATCTCAAAATTTTCTGAAAAACTACACACATAGAGTTTAGTATTCTGCATATAAAGAGATATATGTTTATATAATTTTATATATGACGCGAGGGGTATTTAATTGCAATTAAACAAAATTCGGATAGTATTGTTAAATTCTTAACTGAACATGGTGCTACAACAGGATCTATTTCTAATATATGACACAAAACACTAAGTATTGCTTGTTCTCTCACTATAGGAATATTAAAGTCTAATTAAAAACAATTTTTTTTACTATCCTCCTCATTTTTTTAATTTTAGTTTTATTTTTCATTTTCTTTTAGTGGATATAATATTTGATACTCTGTGTTAGCCTATGATCAGAACTCATGATTGCATGCCCCACTTTTTAATTTCTGACATGATTGCATTTGAAATAAGCTATGCAGAGCTCAATTGAAAGATGCACTTGCAGACTCTGCATCAGATGAGTTGAGTCATCTAAAACACAAAGCGTAAAAATCATAATTATTAGAAAAATATTATAGCATAAGTTACGGATACAAACAGAAAAATTTATTTGGAACAAATAGTGTATAAACCGAAAACAATGAATGGAAACATAGTACCAATGGCGCGAACAGCTATTCCAAGGGGATTATCTGTTTCTTCATCTGATTCTTGATTCAAAACGTCGGATGTTAGCTGAAGTTCATGCACGTGTCGTGAATTTTGCTCTTTAATTTCTTTAAGCTGTTGTGTTTCATTATCTATCATACTTATAACGGCATAAGCTCTTGCAATCAATTCTTGTCGTGTGTTTTTAACGCTATTAAGCAAAGCAGTTGCTGGCTCATAATATTCTTGATTTTCTCTCTTTCTGGTATACATATGTTCTTGAGCTTCAGCTACTATTTGTTTTGTTTCTTTGATTTCATGCGTAAGAGCTTTAATATATGGTAATGGCATTTCATCTTCTTTATCCATTTAAATTTCGTCACTTTTCTACAATTTACTGGTGTGAAGCACCAAACTCAAAGATGTTTCTATTGATTGTGATTTATTCAGCCCAAACGTAATATGTATAGAATCTTTGTTTGATTATATGCTCTAGGTAAACACTCTAATTTATCCATTTTAATTTTGTCCCATTCGAATTTTCGAAGCTGTGCTATTTACCTAGCGCCGATAGCATGGTTTTTATCAAGTATCAACTATAAATGGTGTTTACATTTATTTTAATTTTCAGAGCGAGATTATGACCTGGAAATTATATTGCTAATGAGTCAATAACAATTTGAATGTTACCTATGAGCTTATAGATGTGTTGATCTTAACAATTATTCATAACTTCCAACAAATTGATAAAAAATGTGAAAAAATATATCATATAATCTAAAAATATTGAATGAGTAAATAAAAATACTAACAAAAGTTTAGTGCGAACAGTACGGATGCTAAGAATACATGAATAACAAATATTTAAAAAAAACCTTTTTTGCAAATGATATAATATATAAAATAGAATTACAACTCTTTGTTACTCTTCTGATCATCAGATTTCTTCTTGAAATGATCGACATTTTTACGTAATTTTTCTAATAATTCTTTTGTATTTCCATTTGGCAGTAGTTTATAGTTTTCGAGCATTTCTCTAAACTGCTTTTCATCTTCTTCATATCCCTCCTTTGATTGATAAGTATCCAAATTATTTTCAAGGTCGTGATGGACTTTCTTTGATTGTTCAGATAGTTTGCTTACAGAAACCTGTAGAGATCTAATAACTGTCATTACGATAAAGAAAAATGTAAAGAAAAGAATTACACCGATTGCGCCAAATAAAACAAAGTACGGATGATTAGAATAGAATAATTCGAAGCGTTGCGAGAATGTTAATTGATCATATTCATATTTTCTCTTAACTGCATTCTCAATTTCATGAATTCGACCTTGTGCAACTTCTTCATCATGTATTCGCTTTGAATCGAGGAATTTTCTTATAATTTCATTGCTATCTGGTAGTAATAAAGAATCCATTGAATCAAAGCGCGAATGCATCTTTTTGAATAACGATGGTATATCTTTTGGAGGATTTGGGTCCATTTCTTCAGAATCTTCTTGCTTTTTTTCAGGGTGTAAAAATTCGATAAATTGGCGTGCGGTTGTCATGTAGAGTAAAGCTTTGTGTAAATCTGGCCTTGCATGATAGATATCTGCCATTTTTGATAATGCAATTGGAACATAATGAAGATCTTCTTTTGACATATGACCATGATTATATTGATATTCGACTGCCTCACACAATTTTTTATATTTTCTCAAAGCTTCGGTTGGTTTTGCAAGTTGTTGTAAGGCATTTCCTTGATTGTAGAGATTTTCGAAGTCCTGAACTGTTAAAACAAAGTCATCATCATCCTTTGAAAATTTTTCGCTCATTGTATCTAAATGAAACTATATTATTATGATTGAGCATATGATAAAATATCAAGTTTATTGTATAACCACATAAATGATAATGATCAGAAAATCATAACTTTGAAATAAAATTTCCAAATAAAAAAAAATATTGAAAATGTGTATTTTGTATTTGGTGTGTAAATCGTATACTAGGTGAAAAAGAAAACAAATATAGTTTTAGAACAAAAGTTAAATAAATAAAAAAATTAATCATTAAATATATCTACTGAGCTATCAGAGTCTGATAAGACATCATCGACATCGAAAGCCATTCCAAGTTCATCTTCATCGTTCTGAACATTGTCAACCAACAAAAGATTTCTTCTCATCTGTTCTCTGTCGTCGTTGTGCATCTGATCCATGTTCTGCTCTTCATCTCTTGGCTGTGTTTGAAGAACAGAAGATGTTCTGGCTCTTTGAATTGTTTCTCGAACAAATTCTGCTTTTTGAGTCATTTCGTCGAGATGTTGGAGCTTTAATGCAATGAATTCACGGTCATTCTCGATGTTACCGTAGTGAATAGACTCCTCATTGATGATCTCAGCAAGATTTGGAAATTCTGATTTTAATTTTTCTGTTTCTTCAACTTGCATGCCTTTGAAAAGGGGATGAGCGAAGACCTTGTGGAGAAGAGGTTTCGGAAGAGTATCAATTCCTGGAACAGAATGAAGATGCATCGCTAAAAATTCAACAATGAACTCTGGCGGTTTAGGGAATGGATAAAGTGAATTGTAAATTTTGATAACGTTACTGGGAGTTAACTGTTCATAGAACACGAGGCCAGCAATTCTGGCAAGTTCGGCGTATTCAAGGATATTGGCAACTGTATAGACATAATGGCAGTTGTCTTTGTTTATCTTGACAGCTGAGCCGTAAATAGCGTCGTAGATTATAGTAAAGTCGCCTGGAATTTCAATTTTGAATTCTTTCATTGGAGGATTGTCAGTAATTCCCTTACGAATAGCATCGCATGTAAAAGCAGCAACCATTGATGAGCATGCAAAGTCTTTTTCTGGAGTTTTGAAAGTAAAATCATTAAATTGGTCAACTCCTTTGAGATTTTGGAATGCAATCGGTAGTGGAGATATACGAACATAATGGAATATCGGCGGTGGGAATGGGCGTACAGCTGTTGGAATACCGGAGATATTTAGGGTCAAAGAGCATTCAAGACAAGCTCTAACATACTTAGGATTTGGAAATTCGGCAATGCAGTAGCCATTATCAGTTTTGTCGGCGTTTTTAAGAATTAAAATCTTTGGCGAGCTAAATTGTTCCAAAGCTTCTTCGATTTGATGTCTTTTGATACTAACACCTACACCAAGTAATATAATTGAATTCCAGACAAGTTTGTTTCCAATGACTGGTTCAATTTCAAGATAATAACCATCTAATACAACATCAATATCGTTTTCAATGATATCTACGATAGGATCTTGGCAATCGAATTTGACATATGCCATTTGAAGTGTATAATATGTATTAAGATAGCTGAGATTGCAAAGTGACACTGCCATTACGTTTCCATACTTAGAAAAACAGTGAGAAACATCATCTGGTGTTGCTGAGTTTGGAAGGTTCTTCACCAGAATAACATTCTGCACTTCTTTTCCCAGTTCTAGAGTCATCTAAATTAAATTTTTTCTAAAAAAAAATTGAGGAATAAAAATTATTTTCTATCGTTAAAATCGAATCAGGCAAAATGCTTGTATATTTATAATCTCGAATCATTGTGTTTAAAATTATCTCATACAATTATGATCTAGAAGCTTGATAATAAAAATGAAACAAAAATCTTTAATATTGAAGACTATTTCTTCATTATTTATCTACATTTCTTTATGAAATGATTAATTTGTAAGCATAAATTGGTTTTATGCATATACCGATCTTTAAATATATACGAATCTTATAATGAGAGATATTCATCCTCTCTAAATAATAACGAAGGACATTTGTGTATGTAGTATGTTGTTTGTTTAGAAATTGAAAAATATTATAAAACACATAATTTTATTAAACAACAAAACAAATATAATATATAATTATCTATTCTTTTTGGATAATTCACGATGATACTTATCACCATAAATCCAATTGTCGGTCCAAACTGAGATTTCCTGGTCAAAGTGTGGAGTTCCGTAAGAAAATGGTGACCAAAGATAGAACCCAAACAAAGCTAATAAACAAAAAGCAGCGCCAACAATTCCTTTGATCTTTGGAGGAAATGCAAGGTCTAAAAACGTTCCTGTCAGACAGCAGAGGAACATGAGTGGAATCAAGTAATGGTAAAGGTATACTGAACGCGGAATTAAGAAGAATGGTAAGTATGAGAAAAGATATCCAACAACAAAATTTAATGAAGTTCTGTAGTTGAATGATTTGACAAATAACAATGATAACACCATAGAAAAGAATCCTATGTAGTAAATAAACACATTTCCCATACAATTTACTTCTGAATCACCTTTACCCCAAAATGCGACCCAACAATCAGTCAAAAACGGCCATCCACCCGGTCTGCTTTGATATGGATGGAACTGCGTGATTCCCATATTGCCTATGTGCATGTTTACGGCTAATGTAACTGATCTGAAAAATAATTCCGGATAACGAAGCCTTTTTGCCCATAACTGAGCGGGTTCTGCATTCTTATTCACTAATTGGCGCCTCATCATGTCTGGAATATATCCAGTTCCTTGGCCATTGTATGGTAAAACAATAAAATGAACAAAAAACGTCAAAAGATAAACAGCAATGAAGCCACCAAGATGATGGCATCCTCTATATATAACATCAAATATAGAATCTGGATCTAATGCTTTTCTATATCGAAATGTGTTGTTAATTTCAATAAATGCGATGTAAAAACACAATCCCCAGGCAGTATTTTTACAGCTGCATGCGAAACCGAGAGTTATCGCTGTGTATATCATAAATCTATCCCATCTGGCTGAATATGCCTTTAATTGACTAGTATATGATGAGACCGCCAAAAAAAGACATGTAAAGAAGTGCAACATTCCATCACTAAGTATAAATCTCTGCTCTGTAAGTAATGATGTGTCGAATATGATGAAAAATGCTGAAACAAATGATGCAAATTTTGAAAAACTAACAAAACGCATTGTTAAGTAAATTAATGGAGAGCATAATGATGAAAATAGCGCAGGAACCATTCTTATTATAACAAAGTCCGGTCTGTCGTATTGATTGCCGTATAATTTTTCGAAATCGATTTCGCCATCGTATTCGCCTAATTTTGCTATATAAGCCATAATTAATTTTCCTAATGGTGGATGAATATCGTAGAAAAATTCATTCTTTATATACCAATTTGTGAAATTACCGAAGTGAACTTCATCAAAAACAACGCAATCGGGGTTATAAATGAGCCAAAACCTTGACACTATAGAAGTCATTGTAATTATCAAGATTATAAAGGAATCTGCTGTGGTTAGTTTGACTCGAGGAAGAAAATTAAACTTCCCCATAAATAATAAGTGAATATTACACAATTTAAATAGTGAATTATTAAAGCTCATTATGTGTGTGTGCACATTTGTTAATATAAAGTGTGAAATAAACAAAATTGTAAAAAATTAATGAGTTTTCTCAAATTCATTAATAAATAAGATCAAAAGACCTACATTGGTCTATTTGATTATTTGTGAATTGGAATGGAATAAAATTTGTTGGTCGGCTTTGGATGGATTACAAGCCATCTTCTGAAGCGACTAAACAGAATATTGATGCAGTGCAAAATGTTTCTGGAGAGACAGATGATGCAGCTATTGTTGCAAAATTTGTCGAATTGTTGCCTATTCTCATTGAAACGGATAAGATTAGTGTTTTAGATGAAATTGGACCGCAACTTTACAATTGCTTCACGTCAATTAGAGATTCAAGTCAATTAGTTGAGTATATTACCGAAGATGCAGTGAATGGATTTCTAAAATTAGTAGGTGAAACACAGAAGAAGTATCCATTTCCAGAACTATCATGTTTAGATCATGCCATATTATTACGTAATGAATGTATTCCATTAATAATACAAAGCGATATTTTCGAAAAACTAAATCTTTGTCTTCAACATGCAGAAGAGCTCAATCAAATGGATGAATTCAATATATTTGGTGTTGTTATACGTATTATACACAATTGCGCACTATTTGATCAAGAAACAAACTTTTATATTATTAATAATTCGGCATTTCATGCATTACTACAGAAATTATCCAATTTTATAGACATTTATTCATTCGAGGAAGAAAATAAGTACCATATCCACCTCCTAAATTACATTTTAGAATGTATCAACACAATTGACTCCAAAATCGAAGAAATTCCAGTAGATTACTTCCAATCAGTATCTGAACTCTTTAGGACTATTATTTCCAATAAAATTTATCAAAGTTTTTCTCAAGTCCAAGATTTCATAATTCGACATCTTTTTTCACCGATGCAAATATTTATAATAGTGCAAGTCGTTATAGAATGTATTATTACACTTTTTGAGGAAGAACTAGAGTTTAATGATGAAAATCCGTCAGGAAATGAAATTTATCTGTTACTTAACGTAATTGTTGAACTATTCAATGCCGTTCCACCTCCTATTATATTAGCAATTGATGAGAAGGATGAAAATGCTGAAAAAACTAAGAAAAATAATGATAATTTTATTCATCTCAGAAAATATGTTGAAAGAGTCACAACTCGTCTTGATTATGATTCTATATTCCTTTATGCATTTAACCATAAAGGAATAATGCATCAATCGGACTCAGAAAACGCAAATGAAGCTTTTAAACTTTTAGCAGCGAAATCTTTGTTTGATTGCGAAGTTTCTGCTGATATTTCTATTGAAATGATCCTAGAAATGTGTGATATACTTATTGATAGTAGTTCTTTGCAAGGAAAAGATGCTTTTTCTGCATTTTTATTCTCATTTATTTTATATGCACCGACAGTTATCCTTGAGCAGCTTTTTATTAGTTGTGAAGTTGGTAATTTCATAGAATGTATTGAAGGAACAGATCTAAAGGCCTTAAAAATCATTATTTTGGCTTTTGACAGATTAATTAACGTAATTGGAATTAATAACTTTGATTTGGAAGGATATAAGTTCTTAATGAGCTCTGTAATACCGGAATACCTTGAAGACGCTCTTGAAATTCAACCAGCTTTGGAATGGAGAATTGAATCTCTCCTTTCCAATTTCGAGTGTGAGAATTAGGATTTGTTTATAAATAATAGATGTATATGAGTTATTTATTAAGTTTTTTTTTTGAAGTAAATCGATGAAATCATTATTTTGGATTTCTATACTCTATGCATATGAACATCTGCTATTTTCTTTATCTAATGATCAAAACAATTAAAATCTATGATCTCAATAAATGATTATGCTATTTGGGGAACAAAATAATCGAAAAGAAAAATATTATGTAAAGACTCCTAAGATTTTATCTGGATGAAGGATATTGCTTCCATGCATTGTATTTCTATAAGTTTAAATCGCGTGTGAAGGAATAAAGATATAAATGAAATATTAACTACTATAATAAGCCAAATAGAATGAAGTAATTAACTTATTGCATATATGTTAGATCGTATCACTTATATTTTTGATAGCATCAATTAGTTATCGAATGAAATGTCTTCAATATCACATTATTGGCCGTAATTTTTGTTATATTATATTCTTTACTGCAAATAAAATAAGTATGCATCCACGTTTTATTTATAACCCCCTTAGCTGAGTTTATTCGGAGTGATTTACTGACGTTTAAAATATCAATGACTGATAAAAAAAGCGAGATTAGTTCACTTGGAGGATTTGGTAGTATTGAAGAGATTGATGAACGCATACAGATGAGAGAAGAGGAATTAGAAGAAGTATTCAATGATATAGATTCTCTTCAAACTAAAAATGACAATTTACATTCTAAGCTTAGTAGCCTTCAAACTGAATATACAACATTACTTCAACAATACAAGCGTGAAGAAGGACTTCAAAAATCACTAAAAATGCAACGCCAAGCAAAAACTACGCCAGCTTTAGATCCATCTCTCATCGAAACAGAACATTATAATTTTCTTAAAGACAAAGAGGATCAAAATAAGAAACTTTTACTCGATTTAGAAAGTTTACGCGTAAAATGTGAAAAGCAAGAAGGTGATCTTCAAAGTGTACACTTGTTCAATAGTGACACAGAGCAAAAGATTGCTCACATAGAGCGTGACACTCAATTACTTATTGCAAAGGCAAAGCACATAAATCAAGAGCTTGCAGTTACAAGATCTACAATAAATCAACAGAAAGGAGATATTGGTATGTATAATAAGTCGATAAATGATATGAATGATCAAGTTAAGTCATTGGTTGAAAAATTAGAAGCCTTAGAAATCGAAAATACAGATGTAAAAAATCTTAATCGTGAAATTAAGTTATTGAAGCATGACAATCAGAATTTGCAGCAACAAGTAGAAGAATCACAAACAAACATAGATAATTTCCAATCCAATGCAGGAAAAGAATTAGATAATTTGCATGAAAAGGGAAGTCAAACGGTCCAATTGGTAGGCTGGGAATTAGAGAGAAAATCTCTTACTGATGAGCTTAATCAAATCACAAGCCAAGAAAGTCAAATCGCTCAAGAACTTGATCAAGCAATGAAAACAAACACAATGCTGAAGAATCGTCTCAACAAACTTCAACCATTGCATAAGAAATGGATTTCATCTGTTAAGAACAAATCTTCACAACCCGTACCAGAAGATGATATTTATCAATTATTATCAAAATGCAACAGAAAAGGAAAGAAACAAATGAAAACAGATGATAAGTATCAAAAGGAACTTGAAAATATCATAGAAAGTAATCGCAAACTCGAAGAAAAAATTGCCAAGAAGAAAGATTCTCTTGAAATCGCTCTAAATCGGTTCAAGATCGAAGAATCACAGTTAAAACAACAAATAAAGCAGACTAGATCTCATGTATTTGAAGTTGAACATGAAATAATCGAGAAAATTAACTCAGTTAAGCTCAAAATTGCAGACAAGGTAGATTTCTAACAAAATATTTTGTTTTCTTTATATATTAGATTTGTTTATTAAAATTAAAATGTATGATTTAATAAATTTAGTTTAATGAACTGCAAAGCATTTATTATTCAATAAAAGTATAAATATGTGCATGTATAGTAGCATTTGTCCTGTAGAAAGTCTACTTTTCTGAGAAAATTCTTTTGATTCAATCAAAAAATGTTTCCTCGGGGATTCTGAGCGTAGTGTATATATTACGTTTTATAATGTTGTATGTTTGATGTGTAGTAATTGAGAGCAATTATTTAGAAAGTGAGTAATCGTTTAATTCTTTCAAATCCTTTTCAGCTTTTGAAACCTCAATTCTAAGATCGTTAATTTCGTTTTTAATTTGTGAAGATGATATTTGTTTCTTTGCAAACTTATGAGCATTTGATTGATTTGAAATTTGTTTGTAATTAAATAAATGCTGACTTGGATTTACTTGAAGGTTTCGCTCTATACTAAACTGAATTTGGCGGCTACATAGCGCATTCAAATTTATTTGTGATTTTGTAAATTTCATTAGTTTATTAATTTCATGATTTAATTCTTTCTCCTTCTCCTTATTTAAGGATTCCAATTGAGAAAGTTCAAGTTTGTCTAAAGACAAAGATTTACTATCGCTGCTCATATAATAAAGAAAAAATCTGAATTTGGAAAAGTGACAAACATAAGAAAGTCAAACTTGAAATTATGAAAAGAGCGAATTTTTTGTTATTTGATTATAGTGTATGGATTTTTGGTCTCGAAAATGCTTTATCTGTAAAGTATTTACATATGAAAAGCTAAATTCTCGAATTTAGATAATTTAATATCAAGCGCCGTTGGATTGTAAAACTTAAGGTGGCCGATTCTGGTGGAAAAGTGCTGGGAAACGTTCCCCGAGGTAATAAAATCTGGTTTTTATGGTAATAAATTTTTTTTCATTTTTTTATTTTCAAAATATTTTTGGAGAAGAAAAAGTTGTTTCCCAGATGATTTGATAATGGATCATGTTTCTACTATTCATATAGGAGCATACTTTCCTGTATTCATCCAATTCCCATACCTTCTGGTATCACCACATCTGTGATTCTTTCACCAGATTTTCCTCTCAATTTTTTTTACAAAATCTCTCAATTTCTTTACAAAAGTTCTCAATTTTCACCATACCTCATCCAAAATCTGGGGAAAAACATACGTGTTCCTCATATACTTGGGATACACCGAACTTCTAGGGCAATGGATCATCATATGATATCAATGCGAATTTCACAGTAATAATGATTTTCCATCAGATTCAGTATCCTGTGATTGAATGGGAAAGATTTGAACAAATAGTCAACAATGAATCTAATGTAATTCTTGGTATACAGCATAAACACTTAAGATCAATTGTTTACCTTCAGATATTTTAAACCCAGATTCGAAAAAAACTCATCAACTTACCTTTATACAAAGAATTTCATCCATATTTTAAATATTATGCATGTTCTATCATTACCAAAGGTTTAAATTAATTGAATTAGAGCAAACTATTTTTATTATTAGTAAATTTACTTCGCTAACTGCATATATCATTTTTTGTTACTTCAAACAAAACTGTACTTACAGATTTAAAAAATTAAGCAAATCAAATTATATTTAAATTTCAATATTTGAATAATACCATTTTAATTAAATAACTTAGGTGCTTTTTCAAAATGATACTAATTCCAAAACTTTAATAAAAAGATAATGAAGTATTAAAGTTTTGGAATTTGATCCACTTTAAAAAACTGTAATATTTGAAGTGTAAAATTGGTAGATAATGTATAAATTATTAAACTAATTGGTTTATAAAGTTATTAAATTATTTGAATAAAATTTCGAAATACCAAGAGGAAATCAATGAATAAAGAAAAAAACAGAAAGAGAAGGAGAAAATAAAAGGAAAAAGGAGGAAAGGAAAGAAAAAGGAAAAATAATATAGGGCATATTTCATAAATGGCGACATTAACTTTGTGATGTTCATGGCCGGAGGCCCGATTTTTTTACAAGATTATTTTTTCCCCACTGGCTTTTCCCAGATTTTGGGTTTATCAACCAGAAACGACCACCTTATAAAACTGTTATTAAAGATGACGAAAATGTATTTTCTGCCTAAAATATTCTTTATTCATTCTATTTAGCTATTTTTATTGGTTCACACCTGTAACAAGATTGAGAGTTGAGTTGAATAGTTTACAAAGCAGTTTTGTCTTGGCTCAATCATTTTTCATATTGATTCTTAGAAGCAGTATGTATATTTAATCTTCAAATGGCTATGGTGATAAAACGGACCTGTTCTGAAAAGGATGATTCGACCCATCTGAGCCTTTTGAAGACAAATTTAAAAACAAACTAACACACAGACTTATAAGATCTAGCCAATTACAGGTTATCTTTAATTCTTGAAGAGCATTAATGCTTTTGCTACTTTCTCGTAATTGTACTTCATTGAAAAATAAAAATATTATATTTATAAACTTCTTCTACATTAATTTTTACGATATTCTATATGCTGTGTTAAACAAATTTGAAGACTTATCAAATTTAGTTAACTTCTTCTTATATTTGGAATTAATCTTTAATTTTAATATATCTAATTGTTTGTTCTGTGTTTAAGTTTTTTCATCAAAGTTGAGGAACAATTCATCTGTCCTGTGGAACTATTGTCCAGTAAATTTCAAAATCTCTAGATAATTTGCCTAAAAAATGAGCTTTTTTAATATCATACTCATGAACACTTCCTGTAGCATTAGAGTTTTCTTGGTTAGATGCAAACAATATCCTGAAAAAGAAATTCATTTCTAAATAATTGCTAATATTGGGGTATATTAATAATGAGTAAAATGTGTGTGAGTTTATTAGAATTATGAATATGATATTTCATAAATCAAATGAGTAAAAAGTCTGAAGAAGATCTTATCGAGGAAGCTCAAGTCAAAGCTTCTATTTATCAAAATGAAAGTATCCTTCATGCAATACACGAAAATATGGATGTAGACTATCAACAATTTCTACAAACAATGCCATTATTTTCAACAGGCGAAGATTTAACATATATTAACAAAATAGAGCAAGAATTAAATAAAATGCGTGAAGATCGTATTGGAGAAGATCCAATTGAATGGCCAAGGCTTATATTGTATACATGTGCACAATTCCAGGAAAGAAACGAGCTACGATCAAAACTTGAACATATAAATGAAGAGAAGAACCGAATGAGGAATATGATAAGCCATGGTATGAATTAATTTTCAAAATAATTTCATTCTACATTAGAAAAGTCGTATTCAATTCATCTGATAAAGGACAATTGATTTATCAAGCAAACTATATGTATTTCATTATATAAAATGTTTGGAATTTTGTTACATTATTATATTATTTTTTTATTTTGAATGATATGGCAATTTATTACATTCTTTGTTTACTGTAAAAATATTTAGCTTATTTTTCATGTCAATAAAACTTCTATTAAAATAATACTTTATTTTCTATGAGCATAGTAGCTATTTGTTCTATCTCCTGATTCTCTCATCTTTCTATTTTCACGTTGTCTACGAGCAAAGAATGCGCGACGTTCTTTGTCCTTGCCTCCGTGATTTTTACCTCTAATTTTCTTTCTTTTTGGTTTTTGTTCACTATCTTTAGATTCTCCTTCTTCTTTTTCTTCACCTTCACCATCATCTTCCTTGTCTTGCTTCTTTTCTTCCTTCTTTGGCTTCTTTTCGCCCTTTTCTTCTTTAGAATCTTCTTCTTCCTCTAAATCTGGTATTTCTTCCTCTTCCATATCTTCTTCAAGTAATTTAATAGACTTTTCTAAACCTCCATCCTTAGCAACTTCGACATATTGGAACTTTTCACCTTGAGATTTGACAATAACGTCTGCTATTTCGTTATTATATGCTGTAAGTTGTTCGTTTGTTAATTTATTTCCGTTCTTGATATAAATCTGGTGATATTTTTCGTCAATTTCTTCGATTGCTTTTTCTACTTCAGCATTCATTTGATCTTTCTCTTCCTTTGCTTCCATTCTCTTCCTCTTACGTGCTGAAATTTCTTCACGACTTTCGCCTTCAACCTTACGTGGATGTGATTCTATTTTGTCAGCTCCTGGCTCCTCATATCTAAAGTTATAATTTTCTTCTGTCTTAGAACTTTCAATAACATCTTGGAGATCATCAGATGATTCATCAACATTAGGAACTGGAGTGTTTCCTTTCCAACTTTCGTTCTTGAAGTAGTTATCTAAATACTTATCAACTTCATCGATTGGCTGATCACCGCGAATTTCTGCTAATTTTGAATCTGTGTCTTTTAAGTAATTGTTAAGATCGTTTGTCTCGTTTTCTGATGGAATATCTGCTTCACTTGAAACTTCAGTACTCATTTTTTGGTGAAAGATTTTGTCTCTTTATGAATTTTTTTGACAAAGTGTACAAATATATTCTCTATCGGAAAATATATATAAAATCTGAATTTTATTCAACTACGACGGCAATGTGAGACTATTCATTATTTCGATTCAAGGCATTTTAAAGCTCATTACTATCATTTATTGTCTATTTCAAATACAAATGTTGTGCTTTTAAGCCAAAAATCACATAAAAGCAAACACAATTTTAAAAATCAAACGATTGAAGACATTGTTTAGAATTGATTTTAATACAACCTTTGAAATTAAATCCAATGTGATTCTTTCCATTGAAACATGTATGAGAATAATATGAATGATGCAATTATTGACATATATTCCGGCTTAAATATCACCCTTATAGGCATTCGTGCATTTATGTTAGCTCAATAGATATAAAAATAAAGCAAACTCCCGATGGAAAGAATTGATAAACGTACAGCCGATGATTTTCGTTTCAAGTTTTAAAAATGTTTGATACTTATATGACTAAGCCAAAACAAGCAGAAAATGCCTCTCCAAATCAAATGGTTTATGATGAGGATGGTCATATTAGTCAGGCAAATGAAATTCCACCAAAGAAATCGCAAAATTCTTCTAAAATCACAACGGCAACGGAATTTGATGGTAAATCTCCGTTTGAAGTCGATTCTAAAGCAAATGATGCCATTAACATGCTTCGAAATAGAAAATATATCATTTTTGATTATCCAGATGATCCTGCTGATTTTAATCAAACCAGAGAGACTGACAAAGTTTACAAATATTTACAGGGATCTTACAATAAAAAGCTCGTTCTTGATATTTTAAAGTATAATGGCTTTATTCCAACTGATTCAATGGATTTCAACATTGCATGGTTATCTTCACCAGAAGTTGATGAGCTTCCAGCTTCTGCAAAACTACAGAGCATCAATCATTTCCCATATTCGAAACAAATTCTCGGTAACAAAGCAGAATTAACACAAATCATACAAAGCAATCCAAACATTGGAATGTTTGAATACTTCTATCCCAAGTCTTACATTCTTCCAAGAGATAGAGATTTATTATATCGCGTTATGAAGTCAAATCCCAATAAGCAATATATTTCCAAGCCACCAAATGGAAGCTGTGGTCATGGTATCAAATTGGTTAATTTCTCTGACTTTTATAGTATCCAACATGGATCTGTAGTCAGTGAATACATTTCACGTCCTCTCTGCATTGATGGCTTTAAGTTTGACCTCAGAATTTATGTTCTCGTTACGTCTTGGGCCCCACTTCGCGCATTCATTTGCAAAGAAGGTCTTGCGAGGTTTGCAACGGAGAGTTATTCAACAGTAACAGAGAATCCTTATTCGCATCTTACTAATGCCACTCTTAACAAGCAAGGAGAACACTGGTGCAGTGACTTCAAATGGAAATTAACTGATCTCCTCAATGAAGTTAATCATAGATTCAAACATTCCCAAGGGGAAGTGATGAATTCCATCATCGCTGTTGTTTCACAAGCTTTGGCACTCGCACAACCAACAATGGCCCCAGATAAAAGATATGGAGTTGACATTCCATTTTTCGAACTTTATGGATTTGATGTCCTTCTTGATAGGGATTTCAACGCTTATTTACTTGAAATCAACACTTATCCTTCACTCAACACAGATGAAGAAGTTGACTACGAAGTCAAAGCTCCAATGGTTTCGCAAGCTTTGTCTATTGCAGGAATATTAGACATGGAATATTCTGAATTGTCAAATGATGCCAATTTACTTCGTGTCAAACCGGAATTTCTTGATGACATTGATGACGAAATTGTCCGCCTTGAAGATGAAAGAAATGAGAAAACTGGTTCTGGATTCATTCGCTTATTCCCTGCTGAATTTAATGATGATTTGCAACAAATTTTGGATAAACCAAAATATGCAATGGACAAAAAGAAAACGAGTCGTGAAAAAAGCGAGCCATTAGATCCTTCTGTTATTGGACAAGCTTTTAATACAAAGCAAGGTATTGATCTCCTTGTTGCTTATTTGGAAGAACTCGAAATAAGAATCAACAATAAAGAAGTCGGAAAAAGAACAATGATGAGATTGGAAGCTTTCCTAGATGCTCAGGGATACCAAACAAAGAATGACCACACCATCATGGAAATGCTTAAGAACTACATCCAGAGAGCTTCAAGCTGGGTAGATTTGATCCAAAATGGAAAAAGAATTCCACCAAAAGTTAAAGCAAAAATCTTAGAAAATGGCGATGCTTTTGTTGGCCAAATACTCGTCAATACTAATATGAGAAGAGTTAAAGAAGTCAAGTTGCTCTTCGGACTCTAATTTCACGCATTAATAACCATGAAATTGTAATGAAAATTAATAAATTGATAAATATAGATTTGTTTTTAAACCATATAATTTTAATGATTTCTGTTAGCATCGGATAATACTCATTTCTTGAACAATAAGTCATATTATATTTTATTATGATAATTTTATGATAATATTACAAGTAATCTTTTGAAAATTGTGCACTCACATAGCATAAATAAATAGTCTTGTTTGTTGTGATTCCATCACCAAAAATCATCAATTTGAATTCAAATAGAAGCAATGTATCACAAAATTCAATTAATAAAGTGAGATTATATGTATAATGTAGAGTGATGAACATTTGATTGTGTGTTGACTAAAATACAATGTTAAAATGAAAATATTTAATATAATGGTCGAATCTGCAGAATTAACAATATTATTAATCATTATTAGCATGATAAAGGAAATATTGTATGCTCAACATCCAAATATTAACTCTAATAGGTATTTTGAAATTTTTGAAATAATTAAGCTTATTTTCAAGTTTCCAGTCTTCATAAGTTATACACTCTGAAAATTGAGAGAATCACATTGAAAGTATTTGGATTGAAGGCGAGGTTTATGCTAATTGATTTATTGTATTTTAAAAAAAAAGTATATGTTGATTAAGTTACGCAAAAATAATATCGAAAGAATATTTATTGAATAAGATCATATACAAGTTTCCAAAAGGCGATCAAATTAAGATTATTTGCCCAAGAAGTAATATCAGTTTGATCGGAGTAAGCTATATAGTCAGAATGGTTGCTCTTTTTACGGACACCTTCTTTAGATATCTTATATCCAAGAGAGCCACTATCTTTTTTACGAATTAAGAGGTGTTCAGGTTCCTTTTTCTGGGCTGGTTCATAGGATGATATAGTACCAGGTATATCAAGCTCTCCTATGAGACCTTTCATTGTATTGTCGTTATAATATTTCAATACGAAGCCATCTATTGCGAAACAACGATCGTTCTTGGTCTTGAAGAGACCACCGATCTTCTTAAGCATGCCACGCTTTTCGTATTCTGGTGGTTTGTTGAAATTTGTAAAAGTGAAAAATACAGGGAATGGACGATTTTCCAAATCATCAAAAACACGCTCTCTGAATGGCCTTGGTATCTTATTGTTATTGGTCAGCTCAAGATATTTGGATTTCGGGAACTTTTTGCCTGGAACGTTGAAGCCAGACTGAATCAACAACGCCTTTAGTAGATTCGAGAGCGTTGGGATATCATATTCGAATGATGGATTGCAAGTGAGATAGATTCCTGAGAACATATCAAGGATAAGTTGAATTTCATCTTTATTATCGGGAAAAGCAATTCTCGAAAAGCAATAGTAGACAGAATCTGATAAACTAGTGAAGTCGTGTATTATAGAGTTGAAATAAAAGTAAAGAAATGACTTCAAATCGAAAGGAAATTGAGGACTAAAAATTAATTTCGAAACTGTTGATGGATATATTCCCTTGCAATAGAATAAGTATGGACCCAGGTTTTGTAGATGTGCATTATTCGAATCTGTTTTAATGGCTTCAATTAGCATTGTTAATGGATCGGCGTTAAACTTCGCTGCGTAGTCATTTGGATAAGAAAAATTAGGTAAGTCTGTTGGGATTAAATAATTCGGAACTTCTGGAGGAGTTCCATTCCAACTCCTGCCGAGATCTCCAGGAAATTCACTCATTCTAAATTTTGAGAGTGGGTCCCAATTTTTTATGAAATGTGAAATTGAAAATCAAAAAAATATATGTATCTGAATATTACTTATCACATGATTTACCCGTTATGAATTATTTTCACAGTTCTCACAAATTTTTTTCGGTTACCATTTGTACTGTGCATTTTGACTCGTTAATAGAATTAACCAAAATGTAACAAGTATGATAAAGCATACGATTATTTGTGTCTCAAAATTATTCTGAATGGGAAGATAAGGTTTTAATCTGTCATTTTTTTGAGTGGAATCTGGCCGAGACTAATCTTTATCCAAAAGAAAATTTATCATATTTAAGATTCAAATAAAAGGACATTAACTATTATAATCAAATTACTGCTCAACGAAATAGATTTAAAAAACTCGAAATATATTGATCGAAAACGAATATCTTTACAAACGAATTTACTAATGATTTGGTTTTCTGATTAATCTATACTTAATGATAATTGCTGTGTTACTATCTTTTTTAATCATACGAGCCTCATTAAAAATCCTTTCATAAATATCATTTTTGTTGAGAATTGATTGATGTTTTTTGACTATTGCAAAGCAGTTCTCGTGTGAAATGGGTAATGGTCTAAAAATTGATTTGCAACAATTGATTTCTTAGTTGATAAGTTAAGAGAATAATGGTTTTATGCTAAACATATTTATTTAAGAGTTTTTATACTGATGTAATTGATCCTAAATTTGAATTAATTTATCAGAATTTTTAAAATAACTTTGAGATATGATCTTGCATGTGTTAGCATGATTGGATAAAATATATCCTTTTCTGTATAATTCAAATCATAACTCCAATATGATAAAACTATTTTCCCATCTTAATTCGATTTTCTCATTGAATACCAAATTCACCTTGTTGAACTAAGAAATACAATAGTTGGAAACAAACAATTTTACCTAAAAGTAAAAATATTAAAAATAAATTTCAACAAACATTATAATTGACAATTCTCTCCTTGTATTCATTGAAATTGTCATTGGTCAATATAACAAGCTGTCTCTTTGTAACAGGGACTCTTGTAAATGGATTTTCTTTATGATTCTTTAACGTATTAATCCAAGTATTGTAATCAAGGACATAACCATCAGGTGAAATAGCTGGAACTCTGATTTTGTCGCCTGTAATGTCATCGATCATGTTTGGAATTGGATTTTGTGCAGCCCAGGCCTCGTATCTACTGAGATGCTCATCTGGTTCGACTCCATCTTCCTCATTTGTGTAAATGAACTGTATGGATTTGATCTTCGAAAGGTCAACGAATTGAGCTGCAATTGCGCGATGCTTTCTAACCCTACCATTTGTGCGCGTTATGATCTTGCCATCATGTATTCTCGATTTATGATGGATTTTTCCACCTTCGCCCTTGACATAATTTGAATCGTAGATTTCGCCAGCCTCGACAAGCTTTCTGTAAAAGTTAGAGCATTGATAGCCAACTCTGCCAGGGATTGCAAGGGAAAATAGGCCCCAATCTCCTGACATGGTGGTTGAATTTCCTCTAAATTCTTTGACGCGTTGCATAAATAGCTCCTTTTCCCTTTCTGACCAGCTACCATTAACTTGCTTCTCACCTGGTGGCAAATGCCTGTAGTAGTAAGCGTTTGGGAAGTTCGATGCTCGTAAAAATGACATTCTTCGAGCATCGCTCCAATTATCCCATGTTTTTTGGTCAACGCCTTTTGGAGCTGGCCCGACTTTTACATGCTGATTAGGATTAGATTTAGAATGCCGATGGTGAACAACATGTACGACTTCTTCCTCCATTAATGGCTCGAAGTAATCATCCTCTTCTTCCTCACCTACAAAATTATCATCGTCAGGGTCATTATCTGACTCTGGAATCTCATGAACTTCTACTGGTTTATGCTGAAGGCGTTCCTGGACTAACTTTCGTATCATTGGCTTGAATGAGTCATTTAATAGATGCATCGCTAACTCATCAACATCACCATGAGATTCGTCAAGGGCAACAATCATTTCGCAAGGTGTGATGTCGTTCCAGTAGTGGCGAATAGTATTTATGTTTTTATTAACATGTTTAACTTTATGTTCCAGAATAAAAATGTTATGCTTGCGTACATAGTTATCTATTTTCTGATCAGTTCCCTCTTTCACGGGGTCAAGCAATTGTAAAACCTGATCAACAGTTATGTATTTCGGATCTTCTGTATTGTCTGAACTAACCTGGCTTGTGTTGGATTCGGGTGTCTGATGAATGTCCCCATCTTGTGAAAACAATGTGGTACTCCCCGACATTCAATATTCTTGTTCTGAATAAAAGCCGCCAAGTTATCTCAAAAAAAATCATTTTAAAATAAGTATTTTGTTTGAAATAATTGGACAAAGAGTATAGCAAAATCTACATTCAAAAGGAGGTCAAAAAATAGAGTAAACCGTTTATGTCACTTTTAATTGAAAAACAAAAACTAAACGACGTCTCTGAAAAAAATGCATGTTTTTTAAGGCGCTACAATTACTGACTCGTTCTTTATTAAATTAAATTTATTCTTGCAGATTTTTATGAAATTTCACTGTTTATTCAATTTTTATTTTGATTTATTAGGGGATCGATATTAAATCCAATAAGAAAAAGACGTTAATCTAGGATTTGAATTTATTCTATCGGTGTGATGCGCCGATAGGATGAAGACTTTATTTGTATTCTTTTTGTGCATAAATAATATCTACTAAATGGATATTCTATACTTATAATTTTTTGACTTAAATTTTATCCTTTTCGAGATAAAAAATATTATTGTCTCGTATTCTTAGTTTGATTTGATTTATAAATTGCATTTGGCTTCCCCTGCTAAATAAATCTTCATGAATTCAATTTTTCCTCCCTTTCAATGAAATTGAAAGAACTTTGGAGGAATATATACATGTTTAATAGGGACGAATGCAAAAAGTCCATTAGCATATAATATAATGCTTATATTTAGTAAAATTAATATACATTTCAAGGCTAGATTTCGAGAAAAATTGAAATCGTGATTTTTGAGTGGCAATAATATTCGTAACTAAGGTGGCCGATTCTGGTGGAAAAGTGCTGGGAAACGTTCCCCGAGGTAATAAAATCTGGTTTTTATGGTAATAAATTTTTTTCATTTTTTCATTTTCAAAATATTTTTGGAGAAGAAAAAGTTGTTTCCCAGATGATTTGATAATGGATCATGTTTCTACTATTCATATAGGAGCATACTTTCCTGTATTCATCCAATTCTCATACCTTCTGGTATCACCACATCTGTGATTCTTTCACCAGATTTTCCTCTCAATTTTTTTTACAAAATCTCTCAATTTCTTTACAAAAGTTCTCAATTTTCACCATACCTCATCCAAAATCTGGGGAAAAACATACGTGTTCCTCATATACTTGGGATACACCGAACTTCTCGGGCAATGGATCATCATATGATATCAATGCGAATTTCACAGTAATAATGATTTTCCATCAGATTCAGTATCCTGTGATTGAATGGGAAAGATTTGAACAAATAGTCAACAATGAATCTAATGTAATTCTTGGTATACAGCATAAACACTTAAGATCAATTGTTTACCTTCAGATATTTTAAACCCAGATTCGAAAAAAACTCATCAGCTTACCTTTATATAAAGAATTTCATCCATATTTTAAATATTATGCATGTTCTATCATTACCAAAGGTTTAAATTAATTGAATTAGAGCAAACTATTTTTATTATTAGTAAATTTACTTCGCTAACTGCATATATCATTTTTTGTTACTTCAAACAAAACTGTACTTACAGATTTAAAAAATTAAGCAAATCAAATTATATTTAAATTTCAATATTTGAATAATACCATTTTAATTAAATAACTTAGGTGATTTTTCAAAATAATACTGATTCCAAAACTTTAATATCTTAATAAAATGTAATTTGATCCACTTTAAAAAACTGTAATATTTGAAGTGTAAAATTGGTAGATAATGTATAAATTATTAAACTAATTGGTTTATAAAGTTATTAAATTATTTGAATAAAATTTCGAAATACCAAGAGGAAATCAATGAATAAAGAAAAAACAGAAAGAGAAGGAGAAAATAAAAGGAAAAAGGAGGAAAGGAAAGAAAAAGGAAAAATAATATAGGGCATATTTCATAAATGGCGACATTAACTTTGTGATGTTCATGGCCGGAGGCGGCGACGTGCCCGAAGGGCTAGCGCTGCCGCCGGAGGCCCGATTTTTTTACAAGATTATTTTTTCCCCACTGGCTTTTCCCAGATTTTGGGTTTATCAACCAGAAACGACCACCTTATCGTAACTATATATAGTATCCAAATAATATATTATTGTGTATTCTGAAGTTTACGCTTTTTTTACAAGTTATCAAAAATATTTTGCAATATCTTGCATAACCCATTATTTGGTACCAAAAAAAATTTTGTGATGTTTACACCGAAAGTGAGATTCGTTAAGCGTTTTTCTCGTTGAATATTGAGTTTCCCGGATTTTAAGTTATTCCTAAAGCTCCTCTATATTATACCCTATCTACTGATATGATTATTTTTGAAAAGTGCACTGAATTTTTTAGGGAAAATACACTTTTGTCTAAAATTTTTGGTTGATGTCCAAGGGAAAAGCAAACCAAACTCATTATGACAATTTGATGGGGATTTTTACAGGATATAATGATGTCTTCAATGCTTTGTACAGGCTGAAAACAAATGACGAAGAAAAATTAAACGCAATTTACAAAAAAATCGAACAAAACCTGATTGACTCTTATCGAATTCCGCCTGGTGAAATTATCAATAAAATATCTCAACTTTCAATTTATAACAACCGCTACATGAAGTCATATTTAGCGATTGCCAAACAAATTGTTGACGAATACCATCTAAATCAGGTCAACAAAATCAACATGGTTTTTAATTACCTTTTCTACAAAGAATACAATATTGTATTGAATGAAAACGGGCAAAAAAGTTTTAACGATTTTGAAGATTCTCATTATTCATCTGATATTCACGAACAAAAAACAATTCACAGATCTATTATGGATGATGACAAAATATCATTTATAAATTTTACAGAAGGAGAAGGATTTGATAAAAATCAAAAATTAAAAAGTGATTTATATCCATATTCAAGAGGAGGTTTTTCGTTACTTGAATTATGTTGTTATCATGGATCTGTTGATTGTTTTAAGTTTTTAATAACGAAATTTCAATCAGAAATAACTCCAAATTGTCTTAGATATTCGTTTTTGGGTGGAAATCCAGACATTATGAATGAATGCTTGAAAGTACAAAAACCAGATAATGAATGCATGGAATATGCAATAATATCACACAATATCGATTTTGTTACATTTTTGATGAATGAACACAATATAAAAATTGATATAGAATCGTGCTCTAAATTCAATAATCTTCAATCATTTTTAGTTTACTTGGATCAAACAAATGACATCAACACATGTTTTGTTTATTCTCCGAATTTCCATCTTTCATCACTTTTAGAATATTTTATTTCTAATGGTGCAGATATCAATGCTAAAACTCAAAATGGATCTATCCCTCTTCATTATGCAGCCATGAATAATAGTAAAGAAACCGCAGAAATTCTTATTTCAAATGGTGCAGATATCAATGCTAAAACTCAAAATAGATGGACCCCTCTTCATTATGCAGCCATGAATAATAGTAAAGAAACCGCAGAAATTCTTATTTCAAATGGTGCAGATATCAATGCTAAAAACAAAGATGGATCTATCCCTCTTCATTATGCAGCCATGAATAATAGTAAAGAAACCGCAGAAATTCTTATTTCAAATGGTGCAGATATCAATGCTAAAGAACATGATGGATGGACCCCTCTTCATTATGCAGCCATGAATAATAGTAAAGAAACCGCAGAAATTCTTATTTCAAATGGTGCAGATATCAATGCTAAAACTCAAAATAGATGGACCCCTCTTCATTATGCAGCTAGAGATAATAGTAAAGAAACTGCAGAAATTCTTATTTCAAATGGTGCAGATATCAATGCTAAAAACGAAGATGGATGGACTCCTCTTCATTATGCAGCTAGAGATAATAGTAAAGAAACCGCAGAAATTCTTATTTCAAATGGTGCAGATATCAATGCTAAAACTCAAAATAGATGGACCCCTCTTCATTATGCAGCTAGAGATAATAGTAAAGAAACCGCAGAAATTCTTATTTCAAATGGTGCAGATATCAATGCTAAAACTCAAAATAGATGGACCCCTCTTCATTATGCAGCCATGAATAATAGTAAAGAAACTGCAGAAATTCTTATTTCAAATGGTGCAGATATCAATGCTAAAAACAAAGATGGATCTATCCCTCTTCATTATGCAGCCATGAATAATAGTAAAGAAACCGCAGAAATTCTTATTTCAAATGGTGCAGATATCAATGCTAAAAACAAAGATGGATCTACCCCTCTTTATATAGCATCCAGGCGTAATTACAAAGAAATAGTAGAAATCTTTAATTTAAACAAGACAAAATAAACAATTTCCTTGTCGAACATTTTATTATTTTGGCTCTATCAAAGCCTTTTAAAATTGTTCTGATAATATATGACATTTGCTTTATGCATTCGATCTCGTTAAAAATCATTTAATTTTTAATTTCACAAAATGTGAAATTATCACTTGCTACAAATTCAAGTTGTAAATGACGCTATAATCTCTTATTAAAATCTAACATATGTTACTTGATAATTCAGTTAAAAATGAAAATTAGGTGTAAATTCAAAATATCCCAGTAATCATTTTTTCTTGGACCAACGGCAGTTGACCACGTGGAGTTCTTCAAGTCCGAGTTCTTCAAGAGAACGATTTGGAATTCTAGTATATTTTCCAGTTTTGTAGTTAATAAATGGAGAATAGAGATAATTGTTTTTTGGAAGCCATCTATCACTAAATTCGAAATCATCTGAATATTTAATTCCATTTGCAAGTTCTTGAATTGAATTAATTACATCAATGCTTGCATTATGTAACTTTGCATAATCTAAAATAATTCCATCAATTATGAATGATATTTTATTAGCTCTATGATAGTGGATTTCTCGATATTCGCCTAATGAATAATCTTCGAGAAATAGTTTCATTCCTAGTTTTCCTAAAAGCGTAATGTCATCATCATTCAATTCGTAGAATCTGTTAAAACGTAATAATTCTTGGAAGGCGAAAAATTTGTAACCTCTAAATTCTGATTTTGATCGAGTGAAGAATGTTTGGATGAACGTCTTGATCAGACATTAATCGTTTTTAAAAAATAACGAATTTGTATTTTACGACATAAGATATCTTTGTTATTCATTAAGAGGAAAAAAATTCAATGTTATGCATAGGAAAAGCAATGATATCACGGATTTCGGATATTAAATGAGAGAGGGTAAAAGTTGCTATTTGTCACTTTTCCACAAGAATATAATGGGGAAAAAGTTATCATATAGTTGATCTCATTCACTGAGGTGAGAGATGCATGTAGTGTAATGGGATAAACAGTGGGATTTCTTTTCTAAGTCCTAGGTTCGAGGCACATTGACTTCATTTTTCTCTTTTTTATTGACGTAAACTATTCAATTTTTGTGTTATCCATTCAAATTTCAGAATTTTTTTTGCAGATTTCACGCTACATTCGAAGTTACCTTTTGTAACAACCACCACCGCCTACGAAAGACGAAAGTGTGTCACGATTTCACCCGGAAATCCGATGGTTGTTTAAGAGTAAGCACTTTTGGCACCTACTCGATATTAAATTATGTATTTTTATTACTTTTATTGATATAAAATGGTATGATGTCAATAGTAAAGTAGATATTATAAGATAGAATCATTAATCAACATCTTCCATAATATGATCAAATAGCCCTAATATTACAAAGAAAAAAGATCGAAGTATTTGGAACAATTTTTGATCAAGAATACTTTAAGAACTGGAAAGCTTGAAATACAATCCCCCGAAAAAAGTGTCGAGGGCAGGAAAAAACTGTCGAAGAAACGATTAAAAAACATGTTGATGATTTCCTGCATTTTCAGTGTATCATATTGATTATATTTTGATCGTTTTTTTTTTTACTTTCTTATCACTCTAATATAAGTTATCTGATACATGCTATTCCATAATGGAGAGAAGTTTACTTGTAGATGGCTTTCTCTTGATAAATAAAAGCATTAAACATGTCTATATTTTATATATAAAAAAACAATACATATTTTAATAAGATAAGCTTACGCGCTGGAGAGATGTTGCAGGGCGTGACGTTGTACCCTTAATTTCCAGCTTGGTAATCTGTTTGCTCTTCTTGAAATTCGCTAATTTCACTCTTGTTCTTGGAGTTGTCACAGCCATCGGAATTTGAGTCCCCATCTCCGAAAACCTCCACGATTGAGGGAGTGGTGCTCTGTTTACTGGATTTTCTCTGTCTTTCTTCAGTTTTGTCAATCTTTTTTCGAATAATAATTCTTCTTTTTCTTTCTTCAGTTTTAAGTTGGTTACTCCTTCTACATAATACGCTTCTAATCTATCTATCTAACTCATATTGGTGCTTTTTTCTAAGTACTTCTAATTTAACTTTGGCATCTGAAATTAATTGGTTCTGTGCAGCTTCTGTTTCCTTTTTCTCTTGTTCCTTACGCCGGGAACGAATGATAGAAGCTTGATTGTAGTCTTTAAAGTCAATAAATTTAGTTTCTTGGTTGTATAAATCTCGAAGTGTTGAAGAAGGGCTGGAATAACGATTTACGACGTTATCACTTGTCCAGTAGTCATTAAATTTCTCTATTTCAGCCAAATGTTTGATTTTAAGATCGTCAAGTTTGTATAAACAATCAATTTTGAAATCTTGCATTTTTTTGTTCCAATTTGCAGTGCACTTGGTAGAACTATCTTCTGTACTGTTAATCTTGCGTTCAACTTCTTCTAGGTAATTGGCTTTGTTGTCTTTTATATCATATAAAGCGCAAGCTTCTGAAAACTGATTTTTAAGCTCATTATATTTGTGAGCCCTATCGTAGTCACTCATTAGCATGCTTGTTATCTTTTGTCGTTGAAAATACTGAGCAAGCTGAGGTTGCTCGCAAACTGTAGGTAATTTTCCCTTTGAATGAATGCATGAGTTGCCTTTTTGCATCTTGGAGTATCGTGTGCACAGTAAAGCCATGACTTGTCATAGGCAGGGCAGATCATACAAACATCATCGCTTGCAGAGCTATTTGTTGAGGAAGGGACTGTTGAGGAAGAAGGTTGCGTATTAAACAATGGCTCGGCTGGATTATTTGGTTGTATTTGCACTTCGTCCATCAAAATCTAAAGATACACAAAACGATTCTAAAGATTATTATCTTTCTAAATTATGATATGTGTCTAATACATATAATATATTAGATTAAAAATTTATGTTGACATTGTTGCTCCCTGTTGAATCTGACTACAAAGTGATTTCATCTTGGTTCAATTATAATACTTTTGACATTTTCCTAAATTTCATGTTTCAAAGTTTAATTTCAGTATCTCTTCAAGAATGTGTTCGGCTTTTTGAGAATATGTCAGAAAGTAATATGTATAGGGAAGCTGAAATTTTAAAAACAGATTATTTATAATATTTCAATAAAAGTTATTGTTTATTTAATTTTCGTTGTAATTGTAATCATCACCTTTGTATTGTTGTTTAACTCGTTTGGCTTTTAATTGATATTTGCACCATGTGAAATGAGAATTTGTGCTGTTTCTCTAGAATTCAGACGTAATGCAATTTGAAGAGCCGTTTCTCCATTTCCATCTTTTTCATTGATATTTACACCATGTGAAATAAGAAATTCTGTTTCTTTGATGCAATTAAACTCAGCTGTATAATGAAGAGGTGTTTTTCCATCTTAATCTTTTTCATTGAAATTATAACAAAGCGAATTGAAAGGTTTGGCTATTCCTTTATTATTGTGAGCTGCAAAATGAAGGGTGTTTTCCAATTTATTATCTTTTTTCATTGATATTTGCACCGTGTGAAAGAAATATTCACAAAGACATGGAATATTAAACATCGATGAATACAAAAAAAACATTTGTTAATTTCGATCTCGGTAATTTAGTCAGAAAAAAAATATTTAAAAAAAATAAGAAGCAAAGCTATCATTTATCCTTTGACCAACGGCAGTTGACCACGTGGAGTTCTTCAAGTCCGAGTTCTTCAAGAGAACGATTTGGAATTCTAGTATATTTTCCAGTTTTGTAGTTAATAAATGGAGAATAGAGATAATTGTTTTTTGGAAGCCATCTATCACTAAATTCGAAATCATCTGAATATTTAATTCCATTTGCAAGTTCTTGAATTGAATTAATTACATCAATGCTTGCATTATGTAACTTTGCATAATCTAAAATAATTCCATCAATTATGAATGATATTTTATTAGCTCTATGATAGTGGATTTCTCGATATTCGCCTAATGAATAATCTTCGAGAAATAGTTTCATTCCTAGTTTTCCTAAAAGCGTAATGTCATCATCATTCAATTCGTAGAATCTATTAAATCGTAATAATTCTTGGAAGGCGAAAAATTTGTAACCTCTAAATTCTGATTTTGATCGAGTGAAGAAGGTTTGTCTTTTAAAATATTTAATGATAATAGGATTTATTGTAACATTTAATGTAGTGAGTGGAGGGAAAATCGTTTTAAAATTATTGACCTTAATCCAACTTGGATATTTCTTTGGTAAGTCTTCGATACATGTGATCTCTTTTGGTTCTTCACGTCCTGCAATACGGGTCCGATGATATGAATGTTCTTGATTCTCTGTGGCAGACATAATGTATCAATAAAAAAATAAATGAAAATTTTAAATTGAAAAAAAATATTCAAAATTTTAAGTTGAATTATTTTGATATAGTGCGTTATTCAAATATGTTTTTCGAAATCAGAATGTTTATAAACTTAAAAATATTTCAATCAAAACAGAATGTATTTACAACATTTATTTCGTGTTATTATCTTTCTAAATTATGATATGTGTCTAATACATATAATATATTAGATTAAAAATTGATGTTGACATTGTTGCTCCCTGTTGATTATATAAATAGAAGTTAATATTTTATCGTAAATCATTCAATATATCCCTTTATTTGTTTTGTTTTGTTTTGTTTGAGCTTGGAGATCAAAATTAAAATCAAAATCTAATATGATATCGATGATGTTTGTTTTGTTTGTGTTGATTCTTAATGACTTGTTAGCAAATATTTTAAAATGTTGTTTGTTGTGTTGATTGATGTTGTTTTCAAACAAGTTTGGATTGACATATTCCTCTTACACTTTATATGTCAAGTATAAAACATTAAATATTTATTCATCAAATGAAAATCAGAATGTCTCTGAAGTATATTCACTGATTAAAGTATCTTTGATCATTGAACGCCGGGGAGTCTGTGTAAAAAATTATTTAATTATGCTATTTGTAAACTGTTGATTATCATGAAAAGTGCATAAATTTTTACTCATAAATATTTTTATATAAGTTTAGATGATATAACTTTGGAGACAATATAAGAAGTTATTTCAGAGGCAAGAGACGAAATTGAAAGCTGATGACAAACTCGTTTCTTATATATTGAATCGAATCTATCTTGAAGGTGTTTCTGTTTATGTCTTTGTTCATGCCTTGATTTTTATTAAAGAATTAGGTTACATGAACTGTCTTTAGTAAAGTGAAATTGATATCAATCAAAAGAGAGTCGAAATATTTTTTAATGATTAAAAGTCAGGAATTCAAATCGGCATTCACTTTCACTTATTGATTTTTTTAAGTAATTTATGGTAGATATTTTCCCACACATGATTCTGCTTTCATTTCCATTAGGAAGAATAATTTCCAGTTATTATTAATTTGGAAAAATGAATAATGAACCTAATAACACTAACAACATTGTAATATGAAAAATATATGATTCAAATGGCATATTAATACTATCATAAAATGTTTTGTAACAATGAAAGATATATCAATCACGTAGTCTTGCATGATACATCAAAGTTCAGGAAAATCAAAATTATACGATTAATATCCTTTATCTGATGATTTTGAGTTATTTCCATATTTGGAGAATTCCCAAAAGAATGTGAACTTAAAGTAAATTCTAAATTCTGTATTCATTTGATAAATGAATATTGTTTTTCAAGAGTTTTTATTTTTAATTTGTTATGAATGAACGTTGATTGATTGAAGAGCTATCATTTTTGCAGTGACCAACGGCAGTTGACAACATGGAATTCTTCAAATTAGAGATCTTCCAGAGAGTACAAAATCTTATTCATAAAAAATTTTTGAGATTATAACTATGATCTCGATCAATATATCAAAGGATTAATCTCAAAAAAAAATCGAAATCAAAAGTTCTCTGATTTTAATTTAGAATTCATCTAGCTCATTCAATAACATTATGTATTTTTTTAATAGATCAAAATTACTATTCAAAGTCGAAAATACTTGATAATTTATACAGATTAATACAAAAATTATATTTCAAAATATCAGATTTATAATCATTACAATATTGATAGCATATTCAATATTGAGAGCAAATATTACATGGTAAGTCAGTTAGAAATAAAATAAAGAAATTTAATTAAATAATTTTAAAAAAAATTAGCTCGTTTGCTTTGACCAATGGCAGTCGACAACATGGAGTTCTTCAAGTCCGAGTTCTTCAAGAGAATAAGTGGTAGTTGGAGTATATTCTCCTGTTTTGTAGTTAATAAATGGAGAATAGAGATAATTGTTTTTTGGAAGCCATCTATCACTAAATTCGAAATCATCTGAATATTTAATTCCATTTGCAAGTTCTTGAATTGAATTAATTACTTCATTGTTCGCGTTATGTAATTTTGCATAATCTAAAATAATCCCATCAAGTATAAATGATTTTCTATTAGCTCGATAATAGTGAATTTCTTCAAATGCACCTAATGAATAATCTTCAAGAAATAGTTTCATTCCTACTTTTCCTAAAAGCGTAATGTCATCATCATTTAATTTGTAGAATCTGTTAAATCGTAATAAATCGGACAAGACTAAAATCTCATAGCCTTTGAAGTTGGCTTTTAATCGTGTGAAGAAGGTTTGTCTTTTAAAATATTTAATGACAACAGGATTTATTGTAACATTTAATGTAGTGAGTGGAGGGAAAATCGTTTTAAAATTATTGACCTTAATCCAACTTGGATATTTCTTTGGTAAGTCTTCGATACATGTGATCTCTTTTGGTTCTTCACGTCCTGCAATACGGGTCCGATGATATGAATGTTCTTGATTCTCTGTGGCAGACATAATGTATCAATAAAAAAATAAATGAAAATTTTAAATTGAAAAAAAATATTCAAAATTTTAAGTTGAATTATTTTGATATAGTGCGTTATTCAAATATGTTTTTCGAAATCAGAATGTTTATAAACTTAAAAATATTTCAATCAAAACAGAATGTATTTACAACATTTATTTCGTGTTATTATCTTTCTAAATTATGATATGTGTCTAATACATATAATATATTAGATTAAAAATTGATGTTGACATTGTTGCTCCCTGTTGAATATAACCTCAAAACATAAATCTGACTGCCAAGTGATTTCTTCGTGATTCAATTATAGTACTTTTGACATTTTCCTAAATTTCATGTTTAAAATTTTAATTTCAGTATCTCTTCCTAAATAATTCAAAAGTTTCTAGAGCCATAATATTGGTAATTTTTATGAAATTGAAATTTGTTATCAAGTTACGAATGTTGTTTGAGCTATGTAGAAACATAAATACTGTTTTGTGCTTTTTCAAGGATTCAAAATACAGAATTCATTGTTCTAGAAATTTACAATGCACTTCCAAAACGCACTCCATTATTAACAAGTAGATTTTCTTATTTAAAATGTACTTTCATGAAAGTTATGATATGGAAGTATAGGATATCAATGAACCTTTATAATGGTAATACTATGATGAACAAATGCTAAAATCTGACTCGGTTATAATCAAATTTTTGATCTCAGGGAAATTGAAAAACTAAAAATTTGAGGGTACTGAAGAAAGCCGAATCAAAAAATATTCAAAATACTTCAAAGAATCAAAAGAATAAGATATCGAACGATCCAAAAACAATATAAATATACTATTTACTAAAAAACATTAATCCGATTTCTGCATCATTAATTTCAATAATTCGGCAACGGAATACTCCGAAGCTGCATTTTGCAGTATATGAGAGTTATCCGGTTCTGGGATTGGCGGTAGATCTATTTTCCAGAGTGGTGAATTTGAGAATTCATCAAATGCGGAAGAAGAACCATTAAAAACGTCGACAAGGCTAATATCCGGCTCTTCTTCAATGTCAGTAATAAGATCATTTGACTTTCCACCGCTGAGTGCCGTCTTCCAGTATTGCCTTAGTTTATTTACACTGGAAGCAGAAATTCCATTTAGATTTCTCAACTTTGCGATTTCCTGGAACGGCCATTCGATATCGCAAGGTGCATCACGGCTGGAAAGCTTCTGGAAGAAGTGCTGGAGGACGTCGTACGTAGTATCGAGCGATCCGTCAAACTTAATCTTTCGGATTTTCTTGTTTTGTAACAATAAATTGCCTAAAGCAGACAAACCATTATCTCCTAGTGGTTGCCCACTTAAGTCAAGAGATAGCAATGTTTGGTTGGTCGCCAATGCCTCTAAAAATCGTGAAATACTCGAATCAGCTCTTGAACTTTCATCAATGCCTCTGATAATTAATTCCGTGATATATTTGTTGCTCTTCATCATATCTGCAAAATCCGATACAAAACAATTGGATGTTTGAGCAGTGTAACACCCGTCAAGTTGTAAAGTATTCAAATTTTGAGAGCTGGCACAAAATTGAAGGAAAACTGGGGCTATTTGGTTTCCTGACCAGTTTATTGACTTGATAGTCTTTGCATGGGATCCGCAGTACACTTGGAAGAAGGAGTTCCAGCTCTGTGGTCCTGTTTGAGCGTAACTTAGATCCATTGAGATAAAATCGCTTTGTGGAGTATGATTGAGGATACGGCACCACATTGATATTAAACTGTAGTTTTCCCATCTGATATGAGAGAAGGTAAAGTTCACTATCGTTGGAGAAATTAAAATTCTATCTAATTCTTTGCCAGAAACGACACCGCCATCAACGACGATTCCTTTAAGGTTTGAATTTGATAAGTATGGGAAGATTGTGTCAACTTGGACCTGGCAATTGTGAAATTCAAAAGTTTTGATTGATGGAAGGTTTTTCATCAATAAATCAACAGGTAACGTAGGCGTATCTTTGATAACAATTGTATCGAGTAGCTTTGAACTATCTAATTCTGAAAATTCTTTGATAAATCTCTCAATATAATTTGTTTCAATGGCATCAATTAACGTTAGCTTTGAAAAGCGTCTGCATGTAATTAGTTTGGAGAAAAGGGGCATATTTTCGCTGTTTATTTTACTTTTAATGAAAGAAATATTTTGTAGTTTTGTATCATTGTTTGATTGAAGTGCAGTAACTACTTGAGATAGCTGGGTGTTAATAGATTCTGCGAATGTAATTGTTTCGTAGTATTTCATTGACTGAATGAATGGAATTATTAATTTCCAATTTGTATCTTTATCTGATGCAGGAAATACGATTTCTTTGAAGCAATTTGCATCTACAAATGCATTTAGTAAATCAGGAAGGTACTTATTTGAACAGCGAATCTTGTTTAAGTCTAATGTAGGCAAATTTTGACGAAGAGATGATTCAATCTCATTGACAAGGTACTGAGGAGGTGATATTCCGCGTTTAAATAGTGAATATTTGAATTTATACAAAAACCAAAGCGATGTTGGCACTTGAGGTTTAATTCTGTCGGAATCTAATTTACATTTGCCGCCCAAACGAGTGCAATATGTATGCATGGAGAGACACACTTGAAATGCATTTTGTATTTCGAATTCGATCTCTGTTTTAGCTGTTTTTGCATATATTCGTGAATCTGACTGAGTAACTAGTAGATTTAGTTCATCCCAGAAAAATCTAACGACTATTTGCAGATCTTGATCATGTGATGTCTTTTCAAGAACAATGAATTCGAACTCGGTCGCTAATAAACAAGCTTTTATTGTCTTTCCATTAACAAAATGTAGTATTTTCATGCATCCTAGTACAAGTTCACTTCCGATTTTTGAAATTGGCTTAACACGAGATAAGACATTCTCGTTTTTATTCATAAATTTCGAAAATCAAAGTGCTATTTTTGAAAAAGTGACAAAATATAAATTTCATTTAAAAATAGTTTTCATGAGATATATTTAAGGGTTTCGTTTTGCGAAAAAAACGTACAATACGCAATTTCGCTAAAAAACATTTAGCTAGCAATTTCGACCTTTGACTCCACTCAAGACGTCACTTTTTTAATTTTGCGGTATCATATTTTTGGAAAATCTTTATGAATATTATATAAAAAGTCTCTTTAATATCTATATTTCATATTTTTATCGATTTTTAAAGTTTTTGCGAAAAGTATTCAATTATTTTTGCTATTTGGTCGGGTAAATGTCAGATTTGCGACATTTTCTGATATGATATTCAGATTCTACGTTGATAATAATGCTTATAGAACCCTCTTGCTATTGTGTCAAAATTGCGAAACCGATAGCAAAAATATCTCGCAATATCAAAATTGAGATATTGAGTGAATTATGCATTATAGAGATTAAAAATCTGATTTGTGAAAACATCTCATCAGTTTCTAGCTAATTCAAAAATCTTTACTATCTTATTTGATTAAAATGAAAAGGTAATAGTTTCATTATGCTTTAAATGACAGCCTTATAATATAATCATAGTTTTCGCTCAATATGCAGCATTTTTTTTTCGAAATCTATGGTCAATGTCCTAAATACTGATTGCTTTGCATTCATATCTCTTACATTTTCTATACCCACATCACTATTCATTGCTATTCCTATCTTTTTCATTTTTGTTTGTTTCTCATAATTTCTCAAAAAACATGATAACTTGATATTTGTAAATATCATACTTTATAACGTAAATAAGAACTTGACCTATTAAGAAAAGCAGTAATGAAAAGAAAATCTGAAATTCATAAAAATTACAAGTTTCTGATGACAATTAGCTTAATTAAACCAGGTACAGGATTATATAATTGTATTTTCTATCCAATTATCCATATAATATCTTATCCAGAAAAAATAACTTGATCAATACCAAATGATTTTTTAACTAGTAAATAAAGTATTTTCTTTACACACACATTGTATATCATAGTTTTTTTTTTTTTGGTTTCGCAAAACATCCAAAAACAAATATGCTATAAAAGTGACAATTTTAGCAAAACGAAACCCTTAATATATTTGATAAATTTCAATTATATACACATAATAGAATATTTTTATTTTTCCAAAAAAATCTCAATAACTCTATTTTGATCTAAATTTCGTATTTTTTCTTTTTATTTTCTGTTTTTCAAAATATTTTTGGAATTTCTAATACAAGATTTCCCAATAAATAATGTTGAATTTGTCTTAAATATTCCAAAGTCAAATGGAATTTATGACAAGTTTATCTCTTTAATTATTTTTATTCAAATTCATGGACAAATCATGTTGTTGTATACAATAAATATATGGTTAGTTAAGAGTATATAATTAGTTTTATCTGCCTGTTCTTCAATTATGGAATTAGGGGTGAATTACAAAAATTAATATGTCAATTCATGAATTTACAAGAGTTATTTCAACCCAATATAGACACAATCATAAGAATTAACATGTAGGCTTATGGTTCAAGAAAAATGATAATGATTTCATGCTGAAATCGAAATGTTTTTTATTCATTCTATGTTTTCACTAAAAATCCCAATGGTTCTAATAACAAGATCTCTCTATCATATTCCCTCCGCTTAAAATGCATTTCTACATATAGTTAATAGAGAGCGCATCAAAATGAGTGAATTAGAACAAAGGGACTCATGGATAGAACGGATTGTTGTGATTAATGATGTTTTATACACTTTCGTGATTATATCAACTCTCAATCATTCAAAATCTAGAAGCAATCAAAAAAATAAATGGAAACTTTTCGAGCTAAAACTCCAGAACTACCAAGAGATTTTACGCTAATCTTCAAGGGAGAAAAATACAAAGTTTCCAAATTTATGTTTAGCATGCATTCTCTGAAATTCCGTGAATTATTACCGACATTTAAAACAGATTTCCTAGAAATACCTGTTCAAACAACAGAAAATGTTTTCAGAGAGTTTCTTAAAGCAATACATAACGAAGAATATTGTATTACAACAGATAATATATACGATTTATATAAAATCGCCAAAGAATGGAGAATTCAATCATTAATAGATCAAATGGATAAGTTCGCACAAGAAAACAACATTTCAAAAGATAAATTAAATGAAAAATCTCGAGAAATTTCACCAACTTTGATGACAATTTTAGCAAAGAATATTAACAAAGCGATAACAATGTCATCATTTACTAATCTTCCTTTTGATGTAATATCTAAGATTTTATCGCTTCCTGAAGCCAAAATCTCAGATCATCAAACTTATTACGATTTTATTAAATTAATGCTAGATATTCACGGCAAAAAAGCAACAGAACTTACCAAATACATCGATCTTAAATTAATTCCTTCTTCGCAACTCGTAGAATTACTAGAAAATCCAAATCTTGATAAAGAGTTCATTGCTCCAAACCTTCTTACCATTGCGAAGTACTACGTTGAAGAAACAGCAAAACTCGAAGAAAACTACGCCCAAGCTGAAGCAAATGCCGCATCTTTACAAAATCCAGATTCAGCCTTGAAAAAAGCTGTTACAAGGGTCAAGCATCTACAAGACAGTCTCAATGAATGTGTTGAGCAGCAAGACTCCATAGAAAAGGACATAACAGAAGAGTTAACAGCAATAAAAATGCTTTTGACGGAATTGGAGAAAAAAGTGAAGTTAGAATCACAAAACCAAGACGAAGAATCTTCAAAAGCGTTTGCCCAAATCAAAGACCTATGCGATAGACTCGAGCAGCTTAAGCATAAAGACAACAAACGAAGTCCACAAAGAAGACATTCGATTGACGACACTGCGAGTACTTTTGATCAAAGACAAGCGCATCTTACACCATTTAATATGGGTGAAAATCCACTTGACGGTATCCTAAATAGCTTAGTTTCGCGTGGTGTTGAAATTAAAGTTATTGGAAGCTCAACTGACCACAACTACCCATCAATTCTTGTTAGAAGGGATACAAATGACTACTGGATGTCATCAAACAAGGTAGATCAGTTTGTAAGGTTCGATTTCGCAGAACGTCAAATTAAAGTTTCCCAATACACACTTAAAACAATAAAGTTCGGAGAAGACTCGTGCCATATGAAGAGTTGGATCCTAGAAGGATCAAATGACGATATCGAATACTCAAAAATTGATGAAAGAAAGACAGATGAGTTGAATGGATCGAACAAAATTGTGACATTTAAATGCACCGATGATTGCCCTGCATATAGGTATATCAAAATTAGAATGACTGATGCAAACCATAGAGGAGATAACACAATGGCTTTGAATTCAGTAGAATTCTTCGGTATTATCATTGAAGAATAAAAGTATAAAATGTTTGATTATCATATATCTCAATTATGTTTTTTTTTTCTAAAAAAATTTTTTTCGATTTGGCCATGTCGAAAAAAAACAATAAGTAACAAAAATGTTACGTATAGAAGAGAAAGTAAATAAAATCGATTTGTAAAACAATAAAAATAAGTAATAATTTGTAGGAATGCTATTAGAATAATTCATTTAGGAGAAAATTTTATATGTTTAAGTTGTTCGCGACAGAGCAGTTTAGAAATCGAACATATCGCCAAGATCGAGTGGAGCAGCTGGTTCCTCCTCCTTCTTTTCTTCCTCCTTTGGAGCATCCTCAGCGGCAGCGGCGCCAGCAGCACCAGCAGCAGCAGCTGGAGCAGCACCACCGGCAGCGCCATTCTTGACGAGTTCTGTGACATCGTGGTTCTTGAAGTAATCAGCGAAAAGATCAACCCAGTAATTTTCGAGCTTAACGTTAGCAGCCTTGATGAGTGTGTTTAACTTCTCGGCTGTGATCTCGATGCCATCATCGTTGAGGATAAGAGCGGCGTAAACGCAAGCAAGTTCGGCAGACATTACAAAGGCCGGCCAAAACCGTTTTCGCCAAGTAGTTCGAATTAGGGGCGGACCTTCCCAATACTGTAGTTTATATTGCCATCTACAAGTCTGTTGTTTTCTTTAAAAAAAATTCTAGAAAAGAACATTGATAAAATTTGAAAAATTCAAAATTCATTTTTTACAAGTGGGCTTAGTATATATTAAATGTTAAGAAAGAATATGATTATATCATTTAAATTTTTGAGAATTTTTCAAGAGATTGAATCCTTTAAAAATATCAGTTATAAATTGAAGTATTAAATAGCTGGAGATCAAAGAAAAATCATTAAATTATAAGAACCCGGGTTCTAGCTCAGGATTTCTATTTTATTTAGATCATTCTCTCGATGAGTTCATCGATGAGGTGTTCGCGGTTGCCGTAGTCACCACCCTCGACGTAAGCGCGGTTGATCTTCTTGTAGCCGCCCTTTGGAGCATGGAGCTTGAAGACAGCAAGGAAGCGGTTAGCAGCAGCGAAGTGTGGGCCAACTGTGTAAATTTCGTGAGCAAGGTCTTCAACAGACTCGATGCCGAACTGACCAAGAGCAACCTTGATGATCTGGTTGTCAACGATTGGGATGCGCTGGCCATTGAGGGAGGCTGTGCCGAGTCTGTAGATGAGCTTGCGGACCATGTCAACAGATGGGTAGCCGAAAGCAACCTGTGGTGTGACGCGCTTGAGCATCTCGATTGTAGCCTTGTTAAGGCGAACGAAGATAGCGTTGTGCTTCTGGTTGAGTCTGAAGAGGTGGAGGATCTTGCGGACATGTGGGTGGAGCTTGTTTGTACCCTTTGTGCGGATGACGAAAGCGAACTTAGCTTCAGCTGGGACGTAGAAAGCGCCTTCAGCTGTGGCCTTGTTTTCGGCATCGATTTCGGCCTTAACCTGAGCGACGTACTCAGCGGCGTACTTCTTAGCGCGTTCCTGGATCTTGGCCTCGTTAGCCTTGGCAGCAGCAACGAGCTCTTCCTTCTTCTTGAGGTAGGCAGCCTTCTGTGCTTCAGTGCGTGCCTGGATCTTCTTGAGTGCCTCAGTCATTGGCTTAGACATTATTAAAAAAGGCAAGTCAAACCAACTTTACAAAAAATTGACTTGAAAATAATCGTCGACTGTGACCTATTCAAATCGAAAGACTTCCACCATTAAAAATAAATACTGCATAGTATATATAAGAATTTGCAATTAATAAATGATTTGAATAATCACGCTTTCTGAAATTTCAAACATAAAATCAACAAAATATTATATCTTGGGGTTACATCTACATGTAATTCATTAGCCAAAGCGAAATACAGACGATTTAAGATGATAGGACAAACAATTTATAAGATAAAGAATCAAATATCGATTTATCAGACTCCACATAAATATTAATATTGTAGATTTCATAGAAAAATGTTGAGTTGAAAAAATTTAAAAAGGATAAAAGTGAAACATAAGTAAATCAAATAGAAAACAAAAGATAGTAAAATTAGTATGTGCAGTTGTCGGCCCAAGGGTAGAACATTCATCCTGGTTCTTAAACTGCGGTTTTGTTACACGCAAATTGACTCCGTGCACCAGCGCATTGTCGCTCCGCGTGGATTGTTTGATTCTGGTGAGCCAAACCGTTTTTTTCTGAGTCATGATGACATAATTGACTAATTTTGATGTTTTCAATATTGAGTGACATAAATATGATTATTTATTTAATTTAAATAATGATCTTTGAGATTATGTTTTGATATTAGGCTAAATGAGACTGCTTATGTTCTGATAGTCATACTGTTGCATGCTAAGTTCGGTCAACGATAGAAATTGAGTGAAAATTAATCGTCGAGGAAGTACGATTATGTAAAGTAAAAAATGTTGTGGGATTTTTAATATTATATATTATTTTATAATAAAATTTTTTTGAGTCATTTTAAGAAGCACATATAATTTTTTGAATTTAAAAATTAAAGTAGTGTCAAACGAATTTATCACTTAATTTAATACTCAGATTTCTTAAAATTAATGAAAAAAGGTTTTCTGAGAACTTTTGAGAATGGTTTTCAAATTCCATTATTGAAAATATATAGGTATTGTATGAAATTCAAACTCTATATTTATTAAAATTCTAAATTTTTAATAAAATAACTTTTCAGAGGAATATGATTTTGAATGGTTGATTAATAAGTATAAAAATGTCTACGATTTTAAGGAGGGAATTGTTCCTTATGAGGTATACATCATAACTATATACCTCATAAGGAACAATTCCCTCTTGATAGCTGGGAAACTTTCTCTGAATAACTTATCATTTGGAGAAAGTTTCCCAGCTATCTATTAGAAACTAAAGGCTGTGAAGCACTAATATATAATCAGTGCCTCATAGCCTTTAGTTTGTTATTAAAAACGAGAAAACTTGTTCGAAATGATAAACAATTTCGAACAAGTTTTCTCGTTTTAAGGAGGGAATTGTTCCTTATGAGGTATACATCATAACTATATACCTCATAAGGAACAATTCCCGCTTGATATCCTGGATATTTTTGAATATATTTTTTTAATTAAAGTTCTCAAAAGTATTATCAAAAGTGATTTTTTAAAAATATCTCCAATTAATTAACTAATTAAAAGTATTATATTTTTAAAATTAAATAGTTTTTCAATTTTTTTGAAGGAATTAAGATACTTCCCACGACAATAAAATTGAGAGGTTTACATTATGACTGATCTTAGCATGCAACAATACAAATTAGGAAAACTGTAAAATATTAGCATGATAGATTCGTAAGGCATCAATTGAATTTGAGCGAATAAATATCACTATTTCCAGATAAGATAAAGTAAGCAAAAATTCATAAAAAATGATTAATTCTCAAATCAGACTAGTAGTATCTCAAAGGAGAATGAAAGAATGATTTCTAATCATTCATTGGTATCGAGCGAACATTTCAGAGAGAATTGATATATACAAGTTCTGTATTATCTGAAGACCAATCATTTCAGGTAACTTGCTACGAGCGAAAATGATGGAAATGATGGAGAGAAGTTGATTATTCCACTCTTCCAAAAAACGCACATATGAAGCAACAGAAACATAGTGAACATGATGGATTGGAAATTTTTCGATGAAAAAATAACGATGGATTATGAATGACTGAATGTGGGTTCGAGATAATTAAGGTAAAGTTTATCTTAATGATTTTATTTAATTTGCATCAATAATTTTCGAATGTTACGGAACCAGAAAACAATGAATATCAAAATTTGAGTGCCAATCTCTAATAATGCAATACCATATATGAGAAGCTATAAATGAATCGAATACTAGATGTCATTTAACTTATCGCAAAGAAATCAGATACCAGACATAGATGACATAGATGTTCATATAATCTAATGAAAAACAACTGGCACAATTTTATTTCTCGACTTGTAATAATCTGTTTGCAAAATTATTTGAACCATATAAACACTTATCGAATGTATATTTAGTGTTTATCGAATCAGACTTCAAAAACCTCATGTGAAATTTGAATAAGTTGTTTTCGCGTTCTGAGAGCGGAAAACGCATTTTTTGAATGCGTAGATTCCGAATCACACGGAAAAAAGGTTTTAATAAGAAAAATAGACAATTTATGAAGTAACAAAGCACATAGTATTATAAAAAAGAAAAACATTTTTCTCATATGAAAGAAAATATAACGTATTTTTTACAGAGCGTAGGTAAGTCTTTTCAGGGGGGTTATACCGTGATATTAGCCTTGTACCGAAAAAAAGTGACAGGCAATGCCGTAAAATAATATTTTATTAAAAATTTTTGGTGGAGAATTGGAAAATTTTTGTTGGAAAATTGGAAAATTTTCAGTTAGTATACATATCATGTGTACGGAGGCACTGCGCGCCTCCTTACCCATTATATGTGAATTTGACACTTTACAAAACCGTTAACGTATATTTTACAACACAAACGACAACACCAACTTAACCTTAAATATTTACAAAGCCGTCAACCACTTCACCTCACTAGTGTAAAAAATAAACGTTCTCACTTACAAAAGTATTGCAACTCTTCCCATTGCTGTGCTTCACACAATAGTTCATATTCTTCAGTATCGCTGCTGTCGCTCCAATCGTCAGAGTCAAAATCACTGTCAAAATAAATGTTAGTAAGTTTTGACAAAGCTAATGAAACACGCTTACCGTTTGTATCGTATGCTTGTATAAACTTTCCATTCTTCATTCCTTCATAAACGCTCAAACTAACTTTACCCTTTCTCCATCGTATCTGATAGAATGTATTTTCACGAGGAACGAAGAACAAATTCTTGAACTCATGACCGTTGTAGTTTGTTATCTCAATAGTTTTCGTCATTTATATAAAAATAAAAATTTTCAGTAAAAATAAAACTAATGAAATATTTTATTCCTCACTGTCGTCTGCTTTCTCCAACTCTTCTAGCTTCTTCTTAAGTTCAGCAATGTTGTCCTCATGAAGTTTAATCTTTCTCAAAATTCCTTCTTTATCTAATGGTTGTTTTATCTTTCTAAACAGAACTCTACCATCTTTCATAGTATGAATGTAAAAACCTTCTGGAACCGCTCCTGATTTAATGTATTCTACCAAAAACTTTTGTTTCATTGCTTCAGTGACTTTAGTCGTCATTTCAATCAAATAAAAATTTTAATATTAAATAAAAATAACGTTATTTTTTCAGTAAGGAAACGCAGGAGTTTTACGATTTATTTGAGGAGTAGGTTCTGGTTTAAATGTTGGAGTCGGTTTAGGAGTTGACTTTTGAACAGGAGTTTGTACTTCCATAGGTTCAGGAGTCATTGAAGGTTTTGCTTGTGAAGGCGTTGGTTTTGACGTTGGTTTTGGCGAAGATGTTGGAGTTTGTTTAACTTCAGCTACTTCAGTATTATTTACAACATTTGCTTTGTTTCTTTTCAACATCATAATTGCTCCTGCTGTAGCTAGCAAACCTAGTGGGAGACCATATCTTATATAAGGACTTGACCAAATGCTATTTTTGACAGGAGCTGGTGGAACACCTAACCTTGGTGAGACTGCTCTTTGCCATTGTGCAGCTCGTAAGAAATATTCAATAGGTGCTCCATAATCGTTTGGTAAAGTTTGTTTCATAGATGGTGAAGGTTCGCGAGAGCTTGATGAAGAACTCATTTATAAGCTTTAAAAATAAACGTTCATCCTTTATTCCTCACTGTCGTCCGCGCTAAGTTATAGTCATCTAATCTTATTATGGGGATGCCTGACTGTCTTACCTGAATGGCAAAGCAACAATCCCTCATAAATCCAATAAGTGGCTTTGGTACATTTTCAGTTGCTAGTTCAATAGGTCCTTTAACAGACAATTTGTATGTTATTGGAGCAGTAGATGTTTGACCTTGCTGGAAGCAAAAGTCCACTTCTGTTGGAAAACCATATAAGAAATGTGTGTTGTCATAGCTATCCCATTTATGTTCCACACTACCATCATCCACCAATGACCTCATAACATCTTCATTAAATCCTATCATATCATTGTTTGTATTGCAGGCGTTCGCAACCATTTCATAAAATACAGGTCCATATGATTTTTCGGTTCTGCAGGCATATTTCCATAAGCTCCCATGGAAAGCTGAAGATATTTAAACTTAGGGTTCTCAAAATTAACATAATAGTTGTCTTTCTTTCTAAATAGTGCCCAAATACTTTTAACATTAATAGGCGTATAAGCTGCTGTAAATGTTGCACTTGAACTATCTGTATTCTTTGAGAATGAACCGTCCATAGGAATCCAATCCATAACTTTAACAGGAAAACATAAAGCCTCGTTTGTATAATGTTCTGCAAGTTCTGTATAAATGTTAGGGTCTAAAGAGAATGACTTTGGATGAATGAAACATTCATTAAAATCCATCTTTGTTCGAAATAGTTGCTGGGTTACAGTTGTAATAGTAACTGTTCCACTAGCTTCTACTGCCTTCGTTATCATAGTGAATGGTTCATTCCATGGAACAAATTTATTTGTCGGTGGATTTGAATCTGAAGCAAATGCAACTTTAAGAGTTGGATTGAAAGCAATGATATCATTTACAGATATAGATGTGCATTGTAAGGCGTCGCTACTGAACTTTACTTTAAGCTGAATGTTTCCTGCAAAAGCTGGAATAAATCGAATAGCTTCTAATGGAAGAAATCTTCTAACAGGAATTCTTAAACGAAGCTTAAAATCAAATGATTTTCCTGCTGTAATTGGACCACTAACAATTTGTCCTGTTCTGCATGTTCCCGAATGACTCCATACATCTTCATGTCGAGTCTTTGAGAAAACATCTACTTTCTTTATTTGTTCGGTAGTTTGTGAGTTTGAAGTTATATATGCTTCTTCTCTTGCGTTGTCTTGAGAATATACGATACGACCATTTGCAAGGATTTGATATCCAGCAACTGCATAGAAAGCGTCATCGAAACCAATCCAAAATCCTGGTGGGTTTGTTTTATTGGAACCTGAACCAATTTCTTTATCTACAATAAATTGACCTTCCATTTTATACGTAATGAATGTATTGTAAAGGTCCAACATATTTTCACCAGGAGGTGAGAGATTGAATGTTACCCATGTGTTATCTTTAGCAGTTCCAGGTTGTGATGGAATCTTTGCGTCAGAATATTTTCTATTAGTGTCACCAATTTGAACTGCATTGTCTATGATATCGAAATATGAGCGAATCTGATGAATATGCTCTGCTGGAGTAAATTCGTTTAGCTGTTCGTTCTGCATGTATTTACTTCAGATAAAAATATCTATTTACTTCATTATTCTCACTCTTCTTCTTGGCATTCGTGGTGGAAGTTGTTTCTTGACATTTTCAATGAACTGTACATTCTCTTTTGTCTCAACTTCTTTCACTGGCGGGTCAGGATTCTTTGACTCGGTTTGTTTTTCAATGAAATTCACGAACTTTGCAATAAGCTCTTGGTTCGTTATTGAAAGTACATCTGGCTTCTTTTCTTCTGGTTCTATTGACTTTTCAGTTTGAATAGAAGGCTTAACATGGGCTTCGCCCTCGGTGCCATGCACCTTAATGTTGTCGCTTTCTGCATTCGCTAATGGAACCTTTCTTTTTCTTACGTATATTTTACCATCTTTACTCTAACTTACGTAATAGAAAGGATGTTGTATTCCTCTTGCGTCATTTAATATAATAGACTCTCGCTCTGATTTTGACAAGCTCATTTTACATCGGTTAAAGTTTTAATTTTGTTTTTTATCTGCAGTCAAATGACTCAGACAAGCTCTACGGACAAGACCCAAGGGGTCATAGATGTTGAAGCATTGAAGAAAGAAATTCGTGAGCAAATTTTATCCGAACTGAAGGAACAAAAACAAGAACAAAAGCCAGAGAGACCAAAGAGAAAACTTAGTGAAAAACAACTTGCTGCATTAGCTGCTGGAAGACAAAAGAACCCAAGACTACTGGCGAAAAAAGCTAGAGAAGAAGCTGAAGCAAAAGCTAAAGAAGCTGAAGCAAAGAAAGAGTAAATGGTTTATTTTTATCCGAATTAAATGTATAGACAAATACCTTTATCTGTTGCGTTCAGTAGTGAAAACCCTGACGTCAAAATAAAGGGGAACAGAGTAACGTTTAAGTTTCCAACAGACTGGATTGTGAACATAAATGAAGAGAAGTACATTGGCATAACAAATATGTATATAGCACGTGCATTTAGGAAAGTTGACTTTATACTTCAAGTCGAGATAGAAAATGACGAACAGTCTTTAAGCGCCCAAAACATTCACATATACAAATACTTTAAAGACGATACAACATTGTTGCAATGTATGATTTCATTTAATGAGATGTTCGAGAAAAAGTTCAACATTGAAGTACAAACTTTACAGCCTTTACGTGAGTTTCTTGCACAACTGAAAGAAGAAGGTAGTCAGCCACAACTTATAGACTTTCATTATGAATTTAATGAAAATGAAGATGGAACACATGACTGTCAATTCATTGTATTCTCACCATTCAATGAAGTCGCTAAAGAGAAAGAAAATCCATTACGTATAAGATTTCAAATCTCTGAACCAATGATGATTTCAAGAATGTTTTCAATTATGATGCAATGCTTCCGAGGAAAAATGAATTTTCAAAGATTGTAACACCTGGCATTTGGGATAGAAAGCAAGCTATTATTATTTCATAACAGTAAGGAGTTGAAAATGAGTTCATTGGTCATACAAGAACTCACCACTTCCTAACCCTAAATACTATAAATTAACTGGCTTCAATCGTGAGTTTTGGATAGACATGTTCTCCACTCATGACCATAACTGCCCAGTGTTCTTACCTCCAGACCATAAGGACTGTCTCTACATTGAAGCACAACTCTTAAACTCTACCATCGCAGTATTGTAAAATCTACGCTAGTTTTATTTTTTCTGAAAATTTTTATTTGAGTGAAAGGCATGGAAGGTGAAGGACATTGGCAAACACTCGAACATGACAATGACTATGAAATCTTTTCAGAGTACCCATATCCAATTAGGCGCATAAGTAACAAAAGAGTTGTAAGTGAGTTTGACAACGGTGATGGTTATATTTGTGTTTATTTAAACAAACATAAACTCTTTAAGCATAAAATTGTTGCAAATCAATTTATACCGAATCCTGAAGGACTTCGAGAAGTAGACCATATAAACAGAGACAGAAGAGACTTTCATATCTCAAACTTAAGGTGGGTGTCGAGAAGACAAAACATGAGAAATATTTCTGGTTCGAATGGCTATTGGTTTGACATTGTAGACACTCTTCCTGAAGATGCTGTTGAAATTATACAATACTCTAAATTTACTCTAGAAAATTACTACTATGTCCCAAGTGAAGATGTCTTTTACTATTTCATGGGAACTCAATACAGACGAATGAATGTCTTAAGACAGTATAGCAAAGATTATATAAACATTACAGATGTAGAAGGAAGAAGAACAAAGCTGTCTATTGCAAAGTTTAAGAGAGACAATGGTTATACATAAATGACAAAAATATATGACTCATTATTTTTATCACGAATGACCTCATTGCTGACAAAAATAAATGACCTCAGAACTTCAACTTACGAATAAAGCTTGTTTTAGTCGTTATTGAGAAGTTAAACTTTTCAGCAAAGCAAGGACTAGAAGACTTACATAAGTCAAATCCAATCTCTTGACCATCATGAAGTGCTTTGTAAAGTTTCATTAAACTGAACTCAGAGTCTTTGTCATATGTTCCAACAGGTATGTGAATGTTCTTATCTTCATTGTAATAGCATTGTATAGCTTCAGGAAACATTTCATTTGCTGTTAAAGCAAGGACGTCTTGTTTTACACCTTTACAACGTGCATGGAATGCAACTTCATTTAAATCGTTAGTGAGTAAGTCTATGTAAGTCTTCTTTCCACAAAATATTGACTTGTATGCTAAACTTTGTTTTCCAGGTGTTATTTCTGCGAAGTCAGAATGGAACTGACCTAATGTTTTACCAATAAGTTCTCTACCGTATCTCTTCTTAAACTCTGCTGCAAGCTTTGGTATGTCTTCATTGAAAATATGCATGCTATCGCAGTCCTGGTAAAATATTTGAAGACCCATATCTTCAGCAGTACAGAATACTTCACACATTATTCTCTTCGACATAGACAGAATGTTAACACCAAGTGGACAGAAGTTAAAGTGTCTGCAAATGCTTTTCGTTAGCTTGAAAATAGTTTTATCTGAACCATCCAAACCTTCGAACTTCACTATATGGTTGTAGTTTCTGATGGCATATCTTATAGCATCTTTGTCATTTACTATGGTTATTTTTGACTCAATAGGAGATAGAATAGTTTTGCCATAAATACTGTTCAGAATGAGCTTTATATTTTCTTGCAAAGGATTTCCTTCTTTCTTATACTTTAACCTTAACTCAAACAACTTCTTTACTTCATCTCTTATTCTAATATCTCTGTTTCCATCGTAATAGTATCCTTGCAACACTTCACATTTGACACCTTGATATTTTATGAGGTCTTGTAATGTTATATGGTCAACATACATTAAACAGCAAGTGTTTGAACTTCTGGGAACGTTAAGTTCTGGATTTAGTTCAGGGTCACAAACTATTAAAGGAAAGTGCCTATGTATTCCAATCTCTGTTATCTTAATGAGAACAAAGAAGCCAGACATAAACTTTTCACCAATGGGTTCCTTTTGGTCGTCATCGAATAAATGTCTCATGAGATACTCTGTGCTTAACATTTCTTTCTTCATAACCTTTGGAATACCTTCTAAAGTATAAAGTCTTGCTATAGCTGATGGATATAATGAAACAGCGTCGAAATCAGCAATGAGTTTCTTTACTCTTTTGTTTAATGTTATCTGACAACATACATCTTCCACCTTGAATGCATCTCGAAATAAACTCTCTTGGTTTATTTGAGAGGTCATATAAATTTCCATTCGGGAAGTACACTCTGTTCTCAAATAATTTGTTAGCAATTGAACAAATGCTAACGTAGTCATAAACGTCTAAATCAAATTCTTTCAATATATCATTGCGGAACTTAACAAAACCTTCTCTTAAAATTCTTACATCTTGTTTGCAATAAAATGTGCTATACTTTTCTAAGTCGAAGTGGTTTTCATCTATTCTGCAACCTTTGATGGAATCTATGTTTTTCATGAATGTATCCGCATCCCGGATAAACTTACATGCTTCAGAAATGACACCAGTTCTGTTGTCATTTGCTAACAAAACACTGCTGTAGTAGTTGTATGGAAATACTTCTTTCGGTCCTGTTTGTAAGTTAAACATAGCAGGAAATAGTTTAAGCTTCTTATTTATAACACTATAAGAGTCTTTTATAATAATAGCCCTTCTTTTATTTAAACCAGTTATTTGCATTGTTCGTGAACCTTTAATGATGGGAGTTCCTTTCACTTCTGTCATGTGTCTTAAGATGAAGTTTATATCATAACTGAGGTTATGGAAATATATTAAACTCTTGTCAGGAAGTCGTTCCAAAAATTCTGTTGCACAGTTCTGACCCCAAATGCTTTCACTCACTGAACCATCTTCACTGTCATAACAGATGTTAAAAGCTTTATGAAAGCTGTCTGTGCTACACTCAAAGTCAGCAAAGAAAACGTGCTCAGGAATGAACTTGCATTTATTTTTATTTACTTCTTTTGACTCGGCTTTCTTCTTCAGTTGTACACAATACTTTGGAGCATATGACAAGTCTTTAAATGGTGCAAGGTTCTGTTTATATAAGTCAGTCGTATATGTGAAAAGTTCTCCATAAGAAATAGGTTCAAAATATTTGCACCCCCACAATGTTTTCATAACATCCCATAACGGTGTTGTTCTATCATAACGAACTACATATTTGTTCTCTCTCTTTGTATAAATCTTCATCTGTTTCTCAATGTTCATTCCACCACACTCCTTCAAGATTTCTATATAGTTGCGAATGAAATATGTTGTCATTGGTAATCTTTCGTTTAGCATGTAGTGGTCTTCAACAAGAAGTAAGTCAATAGTTCTAACAGTTTCACATTCTTTTGGTATGTATCTCTTTATTTCATTATGTCTTGAGTCATTGAAATAACCAATGGTAACATTAAATGCTATACCTGTTGCGTCAGAAATTTCTTGTACTTTACTTTGAGGAAAGTCTCTAACACGAATGACTTCTCTCATGTGGTCAATAGTTTCTTCATTTACTCCAGCCTGAATGCAAGCATAAACGAAACAATTGTCTTCTGTCATAAGTGCTGCAGTTCTTTTGTTCAATTCATTGAAGATTTGGTAGCGTTCAAGATTTATAGGTAATGTGCAAAGATACTTCCAGAACTGACCGCTTCTCTTTTATAAAACTTCTTTTCACCATTATCTTTCCAAAAGCTTTCTATAAGTGCTGGGTTTCCTGTTTGCTTAAGAGCTTCCAAAATGGCTTTCTGGTCATTTGTCAGTGTGCTTTCATCTCTATATGGTCTCTTTTTGGTTTGCCTTTCTTTACATCTGACATCGTTAAGCCTTCATATTCTGTTAAATCATACATCTTTATTTCAGTAAGATTCTTTATGTTTGTCAAGAAGAAGTCATAGTGCATTTCAACAATACCTGCAGCATTTGCTTCTATCTCTGATATAAAGTTCTCCTTCAAGAGCTGATGTAGTAATGTTCCAATATTATTGAGGTTTAACGTAGAACATTCATACTTTCCACCAAGTTTATAACATACCATCCATCTCTGTTGTGAGTTTATTTTAATTTTCTCTAAGAGTCTCATGAAAACCTTACCGAAATGTTTGTGTAAGTAGTCTCTGTTTGGTTCATCTAAAGCTTCGATGTTAAAGTCAATGAGTCTATTGCCTGACTTCACATTTTCTCTTCCTATTCTCTTCATCTTTCTTTAACCATCTCTCACCTTCTTTTGGTTTGTCGTCAATGGAACGAATGACATCGTTAGCTTTGCGAACTTGTTCTATAGCACTTTTAAAACATCTTTCTTCTCTGTTGTTTTCAGTGTGTCGTCTCTCTTTTCGTGTTTTACCAACGTTTGCATTTGTTATGTCATACATTTCTCTTCTTACTTCATGAGGTACAGCTCTTCTTGTTTCACCAACGTTTGAGTTCGTAAGTTCAAACATCTCTTGACGAACGTCATGAGAAAGAGCTTTACGAGTATGACCAACGTTCGCATTTGTTATGTCAAACATTTCTCTTCTTACTTCATGAGGTACTGAACGTCTATGATATAAGTCAATAGCACGTCATTTAAAAGGAAATGCTCTTGCATGGACTTCGTCCTCGCCGCGTTGCGGCTTTATGAACTCATGAATTCTATCATAACTTATTGCACCATTATAGTCATTGAGGATGTCAGCGAGTGCTTTTTTTTGTTCGTAATGCTTTGCAACATCTATATTAGCTTCTGTAAGAAGTTGTTTTATTTCCGAGTGTTCTAACTTAGACAACTTCCGATACATCTTTAGTAGGAAATAAAAAAAATATTTTTTGAAAAAATTAGATTAGATTTTTTAAGTTATTTTTCAAAATAATTTAATATTTTTATTTTAATGAAACACATACAAGA